TCTACCAACAAACTACGGACTAAAATTCTGAAACTCCCCCACGAAAAGATTAAAAGTGAAGTTCCAGTAGTGGTCAACTAATTCCAAATTTGAGTTTCAACAATAACCCGAACTATACAACTATAACACTTATTTTGTTGCAATTCTATGTTCTTAAATTAATGATAATTTTTTTTTTTTTTTTTTTTTACTAATTTCTCATATGGTCAAGAATATAGTTATTGCTAAAATACCCTTAAATATTGTGATATTATTTAAGGGCCATATTGCCCAACTCTGTGGACAAACCTGTTGATGGTATTACTCATAAAACCTTTGTGAAGCCATTTTTTTTTTTTTTTCATTTAGGTATTTTAACCATTGCATTGTTTACATCCATGTTAACTTGCTAGCAGTCTTTCTCCTCGCTGCCTTTGTTGGGGCATTGCTGCGTATCTATTCGCATCACTTCCATCACCTGTTGATAAGCACAACAGTGTGAAACTGGTGGCAGAAATGGGTATACTGTTGTCCCGCATGCTCACGTGTGTGTATATGTATGTGTATGTAAACACCTTGACCCACTTCTGCATTATTGCTCTATAGTGACATTGTCTAGCCTGCAAAGTGGGTTTTAATACCTCTGGCCCATATGATAATGAAAAGACAGGATATTAGCACCCGTCTTGTTGGAGGACCTGGTAACACTTGTCGCAGCGGCACATCAGTGGGCTTAATGGAAACGATGTGTTGGATAAAATCACGTGGCTAATAAACTGCTGTCATAGTTGGAAGAGGTCATCTCAGGATAAAGTTATATTTGGCAGTGCTCCCACACAGGGCTAGGGGCATTTTTCTTTTTTTTAAACTCCTGGAACGTTATCCCCACCGCTTGCAGTCGCCATCTTTCTCACCGCAGCTGCTTGTTCCACCAGAAGAGACTGACCTCTGGTGGCATATGCTGTGCACTACATCGCCTCAATACAGCATCTCCATATCAGTTTAACAGAAAGAGCAGCGTCTGTGTTTTTGACGATTGCTGATAGACAGATTTAACAAGGGAGTCAAAGGGTTTTGATTTCAGTAAGAAAATTTAATACTGTATTTAGATTTGATACCGAACTTCAGTCCTTGTTATGGATGCCATTTCTAGCTCTTTGTGAATTTGCCAAATGTACCGCAATTTTCAGTGCCAGGTGATTTCATGAAAAAATGGGCGGGTTCAACCTTTATTTTTAAAAACAGTATTCAGATACGAAGATGTAAAACAGAATGCAGCAGCCCATTAAGTTCACAATTCTAGTCCTGCATTCCCACAGAACACACGCAGTTGTGTTAATAGTCCATTAAAGTATTATAATAGATTATCTTAAGCCCCACCCACCTACTTTGGAGTAATAGACCCAAAGAGTTTAATTGGTCTTTTGTTTTCTTATACTTAGCAAGTAAATACACTGTAAGTATTTAAAGGTCCATTGTGTGAGATTTAGGGGCCTTAAGTGGTATCTAGTGATGAGGACTGCAGATTACAACCAGCTGAATCATCTCCTGGTTAGAATTCCGTCATTGTTGTTTGTTCGGGAGGTTTTTAGTCTGAGCTGAATTATCCGCAGAGGTCTCCTCCTCTCCAAAACAAACGAGGCACGTGATCAAAACCAGTAAAAACAGAGTAAGGCAGTTTCATGTTACAAATCAGTGTTTCTACTACCCTGTTGGGCACATCGCAGACGCTGCTAGCCATGCACCTGCTGATCTGTGCTCACCTTTTTTTTTTTTTTTTTAGATCCAGACATTCGGGAAGTTTTTACGGGGAGCCGAATTCTCCACAGAGGTCTCCTCCTCTCCGAAACAAACGGACCGGATGATTTAAACCGGTAAAAACACTGAGTGAAGCAGTTTCACGGTACAAATCAGTGTTTCTTTGACGCTGTTCAGCCGCTAGCCCAACACCTGCTAACGTGTGCTAACCTTTTTTTCTGATAATTTATGATCCAGATGTTCACAATGCTACCTGGAGCCAAAGTATCCGCAGAGGTCACTTACTCTCTAAAACAAACGGACCAGGTGATTTAAACCGTTAAAACACAGAATAAAACAGTTTCACGTTAGTTAATCAGTATTTTTCCAACAATCTTGTTGCGGAGGGGCTGCTAACTATGATAGCTAACACAAAAATGCAAATTGCCCTATCTAGAGCCTCCACCTGAGGAAGGACCTCCCCCCTGACCTGGAGTGGGCAATCCACCCTTTTCTGGCTGAGGACCATGGCCTCAGACTTGGAGGTGCTGATTCTCATCCCAGCCGCTTCACACTCGGCTGCGAACCGCCCCAGCGAGAGCTGGAGGTCACTGTTTGATGGAGCTAGGAGGACCACGTCATCCGCAAAAAGCAGGGACGAGATCCTCCCATCACCGAACCTGACACCCTCCACCACTCGGCTGCGCCTAGAAATTCTGTCCATAAAAGTTATGAACAGAACCGGTGACAAAGGGCAGCCTTGGCGGAGTCCAACCCTCACCGGGAACAGGTCCGACTTACTGCCAGCCACGCGAACCAGACTCATGCTCCTTCGGTACAGGGACTGGATGGCCCTTAGCAAGGGGCCACCAACCCCATACTCCCGGAGCACCCCCCACAGGATGCCCCTGGGGACACGGCCGTAAGCCTTCTCCAAATCCACAAAACACATGTGGACTGGTTGGGCAAACTCCCATGCCCCCTCCAGCACCCTGGCGAGGGTAAAGAGCTGGTCCACGGTTCCGCGTCCGGGACGAAAACCACATTGCTCCTCCTCAATCTGAGGTTCAACTATCGACCGGACCCTCTTCTCCAGCACCCTGGAGTAGACCTTACCGGGTAGGCTGAGGAGTGTGATCTCCCTGTAGTTGGAACACACCCTCTGGTCCCCTTTCTTGAAAATGGGGACCACCACCCCGGTCTGCCACTCCAGAGGCACTGCCCCCGATGTCCACGCAATGTTGCAGAGGCGTGTCAGCGAGGACAGCCCTACAACATCCAGAGCCTTGAGATATCCAGGACGAGTCTCATCCACCCCCGGGGCTCCGCCGCCTTGGAGTTGTTTCACTACCTCAGCAACTTCTGCCCCAGAAATTGGACGACCCGCCCCCGAGACCCCCGTCTCTATTTCCTCACTGGAATACGTGTTGGTGGGATTGAGGAGCTCCTAAAAGTATTCCTTCCACCGCCCGACAATGTCCCCAGTTGACGTCAGCAGCTCCCCGCCCCCACTGTAAACAGTGTGAGCAAGTTGCCGCCTTCCCCCCCTGAGGCGCCTGACGTTTTGTCAGAACCTCTTTGGAGCCGATCTATAGTCTTCCTTCATGGCCTCACTGAACTCCTCCCACGCCCGAGTTTTTGCCTCCACGACTGCCGCCGCCGCGCTCCGCTTGGCCTGCCGGTACCCGTCAGCTGCTTCCTGAGACCCACAGACCAACCATGCCCTGTAGGCCTCCTTCTTCAGCCTGACGGCTCCCCTCACAACAAAAACACAACAATTCTTATTCTCAGATGATTATACACTAAAGAAAACATAAGTATAATGTTTAATTTCTGCCAATATATCTCCCTAAATCCTTCACACTGGACCTTTAAATGGATAGTTTGGAGAGATGGTGACAGTACATATAACCTGCCATTTATCTTTGAACTGGTACTTAATTTATTCTTATACCAATGTGATCTGTGTGAATACAGATACAGGTAAACACACACACACTCTCACTCAAAATCCAAATGCTTCAGTTGAATCAGATCAAATTTCATTATATTTGCATATGAACATAGAGTTCAACAGACAGACTGTTATGAGTTTCCTCCTACTGCAGTAACCATGGCCATTACAGCACACACACACACACACACACACACACTCTCACAGACTGTGTAAAACGATCACAGATCTTTGAGCGCTCAGCCTGAATCCAGACTCATAAGCTGTTTGTCCCACAATAGCTTCTGAGCCTTTCGGTCTATTTCCACCCGTCTGCGGTGGGGGAGATCTCTCCGCACCGCTGCTATTTAAAGGTGCAGAATTGTTCCACATGCCCCTGCCCACCCACTCACATGTCACAGAACAAACAGTCCAATAGACACCGCTGTGGCTCAACCACCCTACCTCACCCGCACACACACACAGGATGACTCCACTTGACCCTTGTTTCTGGGGAACAGAGGGTCATACTACACCACCGACCCCCACCTCCACCCCAAATCCCACCCACCCACCTGCCCAACTGCCCTGCCAGTCTGATGCGTTTGGATCACAGAGACATTTTAGTTCTGTGAAACTCAACACCGCTGATTTAAGCGCCGATGACACTACTGAGGCCCCTGCTCTTAGTCCGATGCTGCCACTGCTCCCCTGTTAATCCAGAGGGAGGGGTTTGCGTTTGTTTGGATGGAGCAGGTGTTTAGGCAGGGGGATGTAGCAACATCATGTGACTACTTATTGTCTCGGGAATTGTTATGTCTGTACATCGAGCCTCCATTGTCCTCCTGTCGTTGTTTGTTACGCTGCACATTAGCAGTCTGATGTTGCGCCGAAGAGCAAACAGCTCACAAGAATGTAATTCTTTCCTTCCTTCCTTTCTTGCTTCCTCCATTCATTCGTTATCTTGTATCAGCCAGCAGAAGGTCAGGGTTGTCCCACGTACAAGACTTGTCTCGACAGATAACGATACAATCTTAAAAAAAGTATTCCTTCCTTCCTTCCCAGCAGGAATGAAACTTGAAATCAGCTTTGATACGTGACTATATTTTCATGTTTCTCTGTTTGTTAGTGAAGCATTCAGCCAAACCAAAGCAATAATAACCCCAATTTGTTCCAATGTAGTGGTGAGTTTAGAAGGCAGATTGTTATTGGATAAGCTTTTTAAAACACCAGGGGCAAACCGAGAAGTGAAATGTTTTTGACATTTTGGAAAATCCATACTTTGTTGCTGTTCATTTGTTTGTTTTCAGAGGTTGATTGAATATTTTGTCTTCTCTGTCTTTCAGGACTCCATGAACGCGCTGGCTCATGATCTGAACTATCCTGCCCTGCGAAAAAACAAGAACATCGAGGCCTTTCTGAGCCGATGTAAGAGATGCAGTGTGTTTGGTGAAGGACAAGATTCTGGTGCTTAGCCTGAAAGATATCTATGAAGTTGCTGAATACAATACAGAGCACTCTGATCATGATGAAATTAGTATGTTAGGTGTTTGGCATGAGATGATGATGAAAAGCATGACTTTCCAGAAAATAACAATGTTAGATGTTCATATAAAAGGTAGCCAAAGTTTCAAATAATGAGGTCGACATATTTAGAAGTGATCCATGTGGGCAAAAACGACGACTGTGTCAATTTTAACCCAATTGACCCTTCCCTAAGTCCCGCCCCTGGACCCAGACTGGCCAATCATAACGTAGCATCGGGCCGGCTCAGACCAGGGTCCGACAACAACAATGCTCTAATGCAGTCGTTTCAGATTTCCTTAATTTTCAGGCTGGTTTTGGGGCACTTTGTGTATTAATGATACTCGTTAACTGGAGAGGTTGGTTAAAGATATACGTTTCTTCCCTGTTCCAAAACCAAATTCAAACCCTGAAAGGTGTAGGGTTAGCTAGCTAGCTACTGAAGATATAGCCTACTGAATGTATACACATGATGCTTTTGCTTTTTAATGATTATAACAGTGAAAAAAAAGACCGACCCTGCTGTACAGGAACCAGTGAAGGGAAGCAGGGGAACTTTGCTGATATTGAACCAGCTCTGTGTCATCACAGTGTGTGCAGATGAACAGTGTTGACTTTTCCTGAAGATCCCTGCCCGTCCAGTGGCGGAGGTCTGAGTGCTGGCAGCAGCACAGGGGTGAAGCCAAACACCGTTCATCTGCACACACTGCGATGCCACACAGCTGGTTCAGTATCAGCAAAGTTTCCCTTTATATTCATTGTCTTGTGTGGCGATCAGCAGTGATGTGGTGGTTCACTTTTACACTGTGATCTGTAGCCTATAGTTCGGCTTTAGCTTCTAACTGTCTTTGTCTTTTGAACCTGTTGTTGCTGCTGAGTCAGTTTGACATCCTGGATATATCCTTCAAACACAGACTGTAGACCCCTCTGTCTGCTTCTCTCTGGAATCACTGTTTCATTTTTCCAAAAATATGATAATATTTCTTCAGGGAGTGCAGTTAATTACAGTGTGGGCTCCATGCTTACTGCAACAGCTTGTCGTACCACCACAAAGGGGCGGGGCTTAGCTAAAGGTCAATTTGAGTCAACCGTGGTACCCATTACTGGATCAAAAACCACTGGGTCACCAGGTCACCAATTACACACAAAAATAATGTTATTTTGACCCAGATTTAAAACAAACCAGCCACCTGTGCATGAGGTCAAGAACGTCAGCTATATAAAGTTATATTTGTATTATTTTTCAGTCTGCATCAGAAAACAACCTCGAATAGTTTTTAGGGTGAACACTGCTACATGTAGCTACATGCTAACGTCAGGGAAACATGTAATCTTGGTTGTGGATGTCGGAACATATCAGTTGGTGATTTTTCACAGCAGAAAGTACTTAAGTAAGAGTTCAGACAAAAATCATCTACCATTATCCATCATCATCCATTGTTTGGAAGTATTTCAGCTATAGGAAAGAACAAATAAAATACAAAGAGTGCATGAGACATGTTTGTGCCGCAAATGAACCCAACTAACTTGTTAACCCCTTGAAAACACCACAATCTGCAGTACCATGAATGATGAGGGCCAAGAAAAATAACATCGCTAATGTCACCCCACTGAATCCCCGTCCTTGTCCGACATCAGCTCAGACATTCGTGACAGTGAGCTGCAGGAATACAGCACAACATGGAAGTGATTTCACCTTTCTTTCATGTTTCATGTCTTTTGTTTGCAACAGCCCAAAATCACACAGTGTACATCAGGCTTTAGATTATTTTTGTTCGACCAGAAACAGCCTTGAAATCTCTAAATAAACCCTTAAACATATTGCTCGTTCTATACATGCTTAAATTACTGTTCATTTAAATGGAGTCTGGTGGCTTTGGTGGTGGTTTAACAGAAAGTTCTTACTATCTAACAAAAATGTGTTACTCTGTAGGGATCCTATCTGTAATGTCAGACACTCTGGTAACATATCTGTCCTTCCTGCAGATGAAAAGGCTGTGAGTCAGCTGCGAGAGCTGCAGGTGAAGCTCGAAGACTTTGAGAAAGTGAAGCTAATCGGGAGAGGAGCCTATGGAGAAGTGCAGCTGGTGAGACATTTCTGTCTGTGAAGAGTTGACAAATAAAGTGGGTTATTTTTTAATTATGCAGCAGCAGTGCTGTTTCATATGAAGGGAGGTGGAGCAGGCATGTTTCTGAATTCAGCAATTTTGGCACCAAAATTCCAGAAATGTTAGCCACTAGAGGGAGCAACAATCTGTGAATCCACCAACATATAAAATATGTAACATCTGCAACTTTGGGTGACTCAATATAATTTACATCTTTCTCCTCATCATGGCCAATGTTCAGTTTATAAAAGGTAATTAGCATCGTGCAGTAATTCCCTCCAAACTCCTGGTTTTTCCAGATGTCTGTGTCTTGTGCTGGTGGAAGCTTGAATGTGGTCTCTGCTGAGTGTCTTGTGGTAGAGACGAGTCTGGACAGGCTCAGCGTGTGTGGGAGAGGAGTGTGAAGTCTGGTGTGGGGGTGTGGAGGGGATGCTTAGTGTGTTTGTGCTCGAGATCTTGTGTAAGCATGTCTCTCTATGGGTGTGTGCCGACAATTATAGGTTCCCCTCTCTGTCTTTCTCTTTGCTTCTCATGTTATCTCGGTCATTGTGACATTCTCACTATCTTGTTCTTATTGTCCTTAAGCACTTATCGCTGTTGACACACCAGTGCCTCCTCTCATGCCTTGCCCTCCTCTGCTCCTCTGTAGGTCCGTCACAAGGCCTCCCGGAAGGTCTACGCCATGAAGCAGCTCAACAAGTTTGAGATGATCAAGCGGTCGGAGTCTGCCTTCTTCTGGGAGGAGAGGCACATCATGGCCTTTTCCAACAGTCCCTGGGTCGTCCAGGTGTGCAGGTTTTACTCTACTGAAAACACAATATGTAGCATACCAGAACTCCTCCCACTACATAGGCTGAGTAGGGTTTTACGAGATGTTTTGCCCCTTTGAAACCACACACATTAAGTAATTTTTATCATGCTAAGTATACCAGAGTTTATTATACCCATAGGTTTGATCCCCGTATCTGCTATCTCCTGTCCTCCTGGCTTACATAGTCCACTTCAAGGGAAAAGGAAAATGTTACAAGTACTCCCAGTGTTCGGGGCGAACTATATGGATTGAACCTTCTGTCATGTAATATGAGATTTTAGATTTTAGTTAGCTTACAGGACCTGCTCCCGTAGAAAGGTGCGGGGATGACGTTTGTTTGTAGGCCAACATGGAGGTTAACATCACTCTGGTTCCCTCATCAAAAAGCTGATGGGATTTTTCCATTGGATTTAGGATTGTTGCAGAAAATAAGATCTGAGGCGATATTTAGACGTTTCATCGATCAAGATAAATGCAATCGCTGGAAGTAAAAAGCTAACTTTAGGCTATAAATGAACTGCTCTACAGTTGCATGATATCAGTATCATGACGTCCTGTAGTCTAATTTAGCCACTTGCTAGCAACTGTCTTTTTTAGGACACATAGAGGCTTCAAAATTCACAAGCGGGGTATTAACTGGGTATGTGCTGACGTTGTAGTATGAAACGTGAAAGTCTCTTACAGGTTACGTTTAAAACAGTACAAGCACATCCATAATAGAGTGGTGCAGGAATGAGTTCTAAAGCCCAGAAGTGAGTTAGTTCTTTGCTCCGCTTACTGTGTACTGGAGTTACAGCCTGGTGTCATGATGCTGGCATGTAGTTGGAGATAGTAATCTGTGACACAGATCATCCACAGATACACCCGCACCTTGTAGTCAAAATATTGTTTTGGTGGTGGCGCACCATCCTGTGTCGGGCTTTCAGTGACCTTATGTGACTCTGTTTGTCGTCTCCTAGCTGTGCTGTGCTTTCCAAGACGACCACCACCTCTACATGGTGATGGAGTTCATGCCCGGAGGCGACCTGGTCACGCTCACCATGAACTACGACATACCCGAGAAGTGGGCTCGCTTTTACACGGCCGAGGTAGTGCTGGCACTGAACGCCATCCACGACATGGGCTTCATCCATCGGGACATCAAACCCGACAACATGCTGCTGGACCAACACGGACACCTCAAGCTGGCAGATTTCGGCACGTGCATGAAGATGGACTCGGTAGGTTGATTTTAGACTTGGGTCGTTGTTGTTTTCAAATGTGTTGGACCTGAAGAGGGGATGAATTAAGGAGCTAAAAATATTTTGATCCTTTCATATTGAGGAACATAGTTGAACAGAGAGTGAACTGACTTTCCTGTCTGAAAACCAGAGGTCTTTTTTGGGGCTCAAGTGCACCACCAAGTGGTCAGATTGCAAAGTGACGCTCAGTGCAGCACTCTTGCATCAGGTTGTTTTAAAAAGGGCCCCAGACATTATTGCGCTAAGCAACCAATCTAGAGTAGAGCAGAGGTCCCGCCTCTCGTCAGGACGTTTTTTTTTTTCCACCTTTTTGTTTTTACCACAGCAATTTCTAAATAGCTGGTTCAACAAGTCTCTCCGAAAGTCTACCAGTGCACAGAAAGTGTCATAAACATGGTCAGTGCAGTCCTGCAGAGATTTTCTACCAGTTGTCTCAGAATATCTGGAACATTGTTAAAGTTTCAGAGGTATTTTATACAAGAAAAGTTTTCGGGGGGTCATAAAATATAGAAATGCACATAGCAGCCATGGGAAAATGCGGAAATCTTTTTCGCTAGCTCTACCAACCTCTTACTCTCACTGCTGTCTCACTCTTGCTTTCTCTCTGCTGTAAACCTTGTGTATGTCTCTGTTTGCAGACAGGCATGGTGCACTGTGACACAGCTGTAGGCACACCAGACTACATCTCCCCCGAGGTGCTTCAGTCCCAGGGTGGCGACGGTCACTACGGCCGGGAATGCGACTGGTGGTCCGTAGGAGTCTTTATCTATGAGTTGCTGGTTGGTAAGTGATTAACCATGTGTCATTTTCAGTTATTTATTTATAAGGACAACACACATTAATCAGCATTTATGTAAATGTGCCAGTGTCACCACCTACTTACAGGTTAGCAAGATGTTCATGTGCACTAACACACAAGCCACGCAGACAGAAAGTTAGCAAGTTAGCAGCATGTTAGCCACAAATAACAACAACAGTGTATGTCATGTTCGTTTTTGTGCTGTGAAATCCCAAACATTGTCACACTAACAATCAATCATTGTACACATCTGCTTGTTTCCGCAGCTGAAACTCCGTTCTACGCTGAGTCCCTGGTTGGAACTTACGGGAAGATCATGAACCACAAGAACACGCTCATCTTCCCAGATCATATAGAGATGTCTCAGGACGCCAAAGACCTCATCTGTGCCTTTCTTACCGACAGGTTCGCTCACGTAACTCTAAATCATATAAACTAACACTTCTTTTCTACCTCCTTATTCATGTTACTGATTGTTGGACGAAGGAGCAGTGAATTTACATTGTTTGGATCACTGAACAGAACAACGTCATAACTCAACTTTGAACTTTCTGGCAAAAAAAAGACCTGGTTTTAAAAATAGACACCTTAAATCATGTGATTGAACATGACACTGCGTATCTGTGACCTGCCTCTGACTTCACACCTTACTGTAGACTCATAATTTACTCAGCGCTTTATTTATATAGCACCTTTCACACAAACATGCAGCCCAAAGTGCTTCACATGGCAAAACTGGAATGACACAGACACGAAACGTTGAAATATTAAAAAAGCAAACCAACCAAAACAGAACAAACGAACAAAAAAAGATGATTAAAACTCCCTAGAATAAAAAGAGAGTAAATAAATACAAAAAATAGAATTAAAATGAACAGGAGAGATAAAAGAAAGTTAAAAAGTGGTGGTTTAAACTTAAAAATCAAGACTGATGAGACAGTTTTGGTGATTGAAACCCTTTATCGTCAGGACCCATGTGGGGAAGTCATAGTTTAGTGACTGACAGAAGTTTATACAGTGCTTTAGTGCTTCTGATGTGTTTATGTTCTTTGGTTTCACAAAGAGCTCACGGAGAAATAACCGATTGTAAGCATTATTAGTAGGCTATCATTAGACTGCAAATCGACCTCGTTATAAATAATTACTGACGTAGAAACAAGATGAAAAGGTTGTGTTGTACTGTACTGATTCAGAGCTTGTTACTTTGGGATCACTGTCACACACTTTTAATGGACTTAATGAACTTACAAAGTACAATAAGTTGGATACAAGCTCAGCAGTTTAAACAGCTTGTTAATCTGAAAATACCTTTTGCCAACGTGCCTATGTATTACCATGGTTTCACGTATGCATTAGCATAAAAAGGTAAGGCTATACATGGCCTTTAGATGGATCAGTTATAAGAGCATGGACAGATTTCATGATCGGTAGATGGATTTATTAGTTGTTTAGCCTTTCATCCTGTGGTTGGTTCGTTTTCTTTCACACCTCAAATGAACTGCACCAGAGTCTGTTTTTCAAGCAAGTTTCTTTGGTTCACACCAGGCCACCAGCCCAAAATGAACTGTACTTACCTTGCAAAAGGACGTGAGATTGTTTCAGCCAAACCCCATCATGTCCTTACACTAGCCTTCCCGTGTAATCAATCTACTGTTTGTTTGTTTTTGTTTTATTTCACAGTAATTAGTATCTAGTACCTAAAATGGACAGGCAGAGGGTACTTGCTGTAGCTCTGGTTGAGGGTGAGAGGCTGTCAGTAAATAGTTTGTTGGGCACAGGGAAACAGAGATCTGTGTGGGTACATGAGACCCTAAAAAAGAGGGTGGATCATGGGGAGTACCACCAGTTGGTCCAGGAGCTTCGCCTCGATAATGGCTGTTTCCAGGCATATTCTAGGACTCAGGGGCAGTTTGACAACCTGCTTTCTATCATCGGGCCGTATAGCTCTGGGGATCCAGCAGCTGCTACCACCAGTTTCTCCACCATTGTTTACCAACTGTAAACTTGTTGTCGTGCCCACCACAGAAGGCCCAGCTCTCAGATCATCCAATTGGACAATGGGAAAAGAGATGATGTAGGCCACTTTTCCGGTCTGAGTTTAAGTTTTTTCAGCTTGAGGAGTTCAGAGCGCTCCGGCAAAAACACCAGGCTCTTGAATCACAGAAACCTGAGGTGCATAGCAACGCAAAAACAGCGAGCAAAAAGCTTAATTCTCATTAAAAACAATTACAAAAAGTCGCCTCCAGCTGCTAAAACAATTTCTGTGTGATCAGGGCCTAACGCATAGTGTTATGGGGGTAAATTCACATCCAGTTCAGCCGATTAAGTAAGTAGACTTCAAGAAACAAGTCATCAAAAGACAAGGCTGACTATATTCTAGATTTTTATAGATTTGGTTTTCTTGTTAAACAAATTTGTTCGTCCATTTCTCAATACTTTACAACTTGTGCAGCTTGTCTGTGGTTCTCTGCCACAGTATCTGAGTGTCCTAAAACAGCTGGGCACGGCAAATTTAGCAAATGTTTTTCAAATGGGAGAAAAAAGAGCATTTGTTGGGAACTATTTTCACCTGCGGATTGATACACATTTGGTGTAGTTTTGTAAAAATAATATCAGTGACTCCAAACTTGAGTGCACAGCAGTGTTGATCCCATCTAGGCACAAATCTTTATGTCTCATAACATAATATTAGTATTAAGGTAAGAAGTCATATGAATGTGTGGGTGTTGGTCATGTACTCGGTCAGTGGCCCATCCCCCTGGAAGAAACCACTTCCTGTTTACATTAGTAACCCCGCCCCCAGAGGGCTCAAACACAGGCCCTTTCTGCTTCAATACAGAGCAGCCTTTCATTTTTCCTCCCTGCGTTTATTTACCTTCTCACTCACTATTCTCTCACCACAGACAGAATCTCACATGTGCACGGCTGCCCAGCCACACACCCACACACGCACACACACACACACACACACACACACATCTTGAACACTGACCGATACATTCATTCACCACTTAACCCACATGCTCCGTCACTGTCGCCCTGTGTTGCTGAATCACTCCTGTGAGCCTGCCACAGTTTACCTCTCCTTCTCCCCTTCTTTTCCATGTGTTCTTCATCACCACTCCTCATTTGTAATTTTTACCTTTTCCCTGTGCCACTTTCCATTTCTCCATCCTTTTCTGGCGTAACTTTCTCCTTTGCGCTCCTGCAGTTTCCTGGGCATCGAGACACGGCCTGTTGTAAGCCTGGCTCAGTTGCACGTCAGATTTTTTTTTTTAATGCGGGGGTTTAAAAACTCTCTCTTTCTTCTTCCCCGCCCCTGCCCTCTCTTCCTCTTGGCTGGGTCTGGAATGTCCCACACGTGGCAAGCCCAAACTGCCGCACCCCTCCAGCCCTGTACCCAGCGGTGGTGGAGGAGGGAGGAAAGGGGGACGAGAAAGAGTGTGTGTAGAGTTTTGGAGAGAGAGACAGGAGAAGGAGGGAAGGCAGCGGCAGCTCTCGCAGTCCCGTTTGAGTCAGAGTTGTTGATGTTGGCTCCTGCACTCTGATCCTGCTGTCTTCACTCCCATTCTCCTCCTGGATCTGTATTATCTTGTGTTCAGAGGCGGTTCCAGTGTCCACCAGTGGTCATGTGGCTCTCCATGCTGGTCAGTGTGGTCAGTGCCTGGCGGTCACTCTGCTAGGCTGTGTGTTTGGGATGACATGTTGAGGGTGATGGTGGGTGGAGGTGGAGGGGATGAGCGGGGTGTGTTTTGTGTTCGGGCTCTGCTCACAGTCTCGCTCCTGTCGCTGTGTCTAGGGAGGTTCGTCTGGGCCGCACCGGAGTGGATGAGATCAAATGCCACCCTTTCTTCAAGAATGACCAGTGGACCTTTGACAACATCCGAGATAGTAAGTGTGTGCACGTGCATGTTTTTTAATACTGTGTGTTTTTAAATTCCCTACATACAGGTGCAGAGTTTTCCATCTCTGGTAATGTGTGTATTTCTCACCTCTGAAGGCCATTCCTCTGGTTTTTTTTTTTTGGCTTCTCCTTATCATCTCCAGCCCATTCCTCTGCAGACCTGGTTCTTTTCAGCCTTAGTTCATAGTTTATTTCCATCCCCTGAGCCATTAAGCCAGCGTATATTGTACACATGCTCCCCATATGCTCATATATTACATTATATGACTGGATGCTGTGCAGAGCAGCGGAGCTCAGGATGCACAAAACCTGTAGGATAACCAGCTGCATATGGGTGCCACTGCAGAAGATCAGATTAGAGAGAACTGAGAAAACATCAAACACTGCTGATTTTATACCAGATAGTTACTGTAGTAGTGATGCACACACTGTTGAAAGTGAAAGGCTGTTTTAATGAAAGTCTTCACCAATGGGAGCACGTAAGCTGACAGTCTGAATTAAGCTGAGTCCAAGATGTGACTAACATTACATTATTAAATCTTTGTGATGTATTTTACGAGCTAAATGCATAACTTAAATATTAAAAAGTAGTAGGAGTTGTTGCAGTACATGATGACACTTGGTAAATTAGCAACCAAAATTTTAGTGCTGCTATGAAATAATGATCAGCATTTAATGTTAGAATGCCGTGATGTTTCATTGTCAAAGAACAAAAACAGATTATTTTTTCACATTTTATTTTACTTTTATGTTACTTTGCTTTTCTTGCACTTATTTTATGTTTTTTATTTACATTTAAACGTTGACACAACAAAATGTCAATGCAAAATCAATGATCAACAGTGTACAGTCATATTAAACAATTATCTTGGATTCAAAAAAGAGTTTATATACAGTATATCCAACCTGAATTAATTTCTTCTATGTGTATTGAAAGAAAAACAAAGGGTTTGGGTTTTTTGAGGCGGGGTTGTTAGAGGTACTTACCCATAGTTTGTGTATTGCATACATTAGATGTCAGTCGGCTTGCCCCCAGTTTGGAGAAGCAGACAGGAGTCCAAAACAGAATCTCAGTAATGTACTGCTGTGAATGGTGGTCAGCAAAGTCTTACTTAAAAAAAGTTTCAATGTACACTCTATTGAGAGTATTTTTCCAGCTTTACCTTAATGTCACGCAGCCTGTTTCGACAGGGATGCTGTTAACAGCTTTAGTTCTCCATCTATGCTCTCGTCTAAGCCACCAGACTCCATTGATAAAAACAGTAATTTTAGCTCACTGAATACGGGAGCTACTGGTCTACTGCTGCTTCGTTGGTTAGTTTGTTTGTGTTATTGTGTGACTCTGGTGAATCCTAACTAACCCTTGTAGACGTCAAAGTCATATAATAACACAAACAAAATAACTGTTAGTGGCAGTGGTAGACCAGCAGCTCCTGTGTTCAGCCATGTTAAATCACTGTTTTTCTCAATGGAGTCTGGCTTTGAAGGGGCGTGGTAACGGCTTCATTTTCCTGCTAGAAATCACTGTGTGACGTAAACGTAAGGCAGTGACAATATTCTAAAAATAGCATACATTTAAACTGATACTGATTTTTTTTTTTAGGTGAGAATTTTTTTAAGAGGCTAGAATTCATTTTGTTGCTGACCCCTATTCACAGCAGTGCATTGCTTAGCTTCTGTGTTGGATTTCAGCCTGCTTCTCCAAACTGGGGCCGTGCCGTACTGTCTATGAATAGTTACCCCATACAACCCCCACTTCAAAAAATCTGAACTATCCCTTTAATTGATGTAGGTCAAATATAGTCAAAAACAAATTACCTTAAATGGTGAAAAAGATTATGATATCCACCAGTTGCGTTTTTAAACTCAAACTTTACTGTATCATTCGATCACTGCTCATGGGTCACCTGTTAAGAGTCATGGTTTAATCTCCTCTTACACAGTTGTATCAGATTAAGCGTCGCTTAGGAAGGAAGGAAATAAGGAAAGGGATATATTAGGGAACGTGAACAGGACCTCTGTGTCCATATATAATCACATGCAGGCTCTGTCTCGCTGCCTCTGCGTCGCTCCGCTTCACCTGGCTCTGATTAAGACAACAGACAAAACTTCTGACTGAACTTCAGACTGCCTGGCAGTCTGGAACACAAAACCACTACTGTGCCACTGCTGCGCTGCTCAGATCTCTTCATGTTTGCACATGCATGTCCAGTCACACACACACACACACACTCAAAACACGACCCTGCTTCTACTCAGAGCTGCGTGTACCTCCCAGCGCTCTGTGTCTGTTTAAGGTTGACTTCCTGCCGAGTGCAGCCGTGACTCAGGAGTGTTATTTTTCATGTTTGGGCTCTTTTAAACATTCTCTTAGTTGTCTTCACGTTTATCAAGTGTATTAAGCGTTTGGGATGGTTGAGGGAAAAGACGCCAGCACTATGGATTGATGGATGAATGGGACAGGAGGCAGCGCCCCCCGTAGCGGCGGGCGTGGCAGGCTGTGCGGCCTATGTGGACTGCACTAATGAGAGGGGCGCCCCAGTTTGGAGGGTTGCTCCCGCTCTCTCACTCTCACTGTGGCCACAGTTGCCTGTCATTAGCCGCCCGCTATCAGAGAGCATTCTGGGAAGCCGAGCCACAAGGGCCTCCATGGAGCGGCCTGTGTCTCTTTCTGTCTCACCACATTTTGGCTTTTTTTTTTTTTTTACTGCCTCTTCTTTTTTATTTCCCCTCATTTGTTTCATTCCTGCGCTTGATCTCCGCCTGCATTTTCTCCAGCATCTTTGAGGCACGTTTGTCACGCTGAGGGTTTCGTCTTGACCTAACAGTAATGAGCTCTTTGCTCCGAGCCAGAGTCGCACTGGTCTGGGGAACTCGATCCATAATGGCTGCTTTTTCTCGCAATTAGGAGCTATTTATAGGTGAAAGGACCAGCTTAGTTTTATCTGATTGGCCCTTTGACACATTCTTGTCTGCCCGTTGTGTTGTGCAGAACTTTTAAAGCACGCCTGCTCTCCTCTCACAGGAGCGGGCGCTTAGGCTTCCTCCGTGAAAGGCGCCGTGTGTGGGGCACAAAGCGAGCACTGTGCGGGAAAAGGAGTGGTGTCAGCCTCACGGCAACCTGCCGAGAGCTTACTCTTGCTGCAGGCAGTGCCAAAGTCGTCACAGAATTTACTCAGAAAAACACAAGAAAAAATGAGTTTGTTGGAGATGAACTTTAAATTTGAATACATGTGGCACCAGGTTTTAATCTCCACTGGTGTAAGAGGTTGTGGTATGACATATAGGTTCTGATATTATTTAAGTTTACGCAACACTTTCTGTATATTTTGGATAGTGTTTAGTAGTGGATAGGGTAGGGCTGGGCAATATGGCAGAAAATATCATGATAATTTTCCCCGTATTGATCGATATCAATACTTATCACGATATATAATTTGATGATGCTGCAAGTTTAAAAAGTATCCTGATAATGTCTGACACCTGAAGAAACCAAATGATTTTCCAGCTTCCCACGGCACTTGTTGCAAACCTGGAGCAAAGCAGTTTGAGAAAAATATTTCCTACCTGGGAGCTCGTACCTGCAGTCCAGCACTTAAATTAACTTCTTGACCCGGTCTTTCTCCACTGTGCTCATGGGCATCATGTCTTTGGCTAGAAAGTATGACACTGCAGTTGTTATATCTCTGCGGGGGTCACGGTGGCAAAAGAGGACACTATTAATTGCTGTTTTGATGCAGCCCTGCTAGCGCTGCCCACAGCAGCAGAAGTGCTAGGCCATGGAGCAACACTTGTTTGCCACTGTTTCAGGTGATGGATAAGGTTTGTTGTGTTTCATGTCCTGGTTAGCACCAACTGACGACATGTTTTGAAGACCGTCTTTGGCTGTAGCCAAGTAGCCAAACCACTTCCAATTATTGACGTTGTGTAACCTTTTTTATCAACAATTTTGTCCATTTTTGAGGGTAACGTGAGGTCTTCTTCAGCTTCACTGCTGCTACACTCCTCACTTCCACTTATTTTCCCCTCTCTTGGTTATGTCCATGCTACTTTCACTTCCTCCTCACCTCGGTACAAACTTTGCAGTGAAAAATGGGTGTGTACAATGACACGCATCCCCAACACTTCAGATTGACTGACAGCTGTTTGTTAACTTCATGTTTTGTTTTTTTTTAATCGCCCAGCCCTAGAGGACTCACAGTACGATATTATGATGTTATTGTGTGGTTATAGTCACATATGAATCCACTGACCTGAAAGTCCAGGCATCACAAGTTAATGCCACCCTTCCTGCTGTACTCAAAGATTCCTCAGCTTTATGCTTCACCTCCCTGTAGAGCATGGGTACGGCTGTGTTGGTGAAAGACACACGCCTGGGTTCCAGTGTTTGTGCATGTCAAAGCCTTCCTCTTCAACACTGTATGGATGCAGATCTTTGGCCCTACACTTGTAATGGTGTACCCCAGGGTTCTGTGTTAGGTCCATTGTTATTTTCCGTTTATATTAATAGTCTTGGACGACACAGTGATATATCGTGCCGGCTCATCCGTCACAGACACTGTAGCCAGTTGCAGGCTGTCTTAACAGTTACCCAGATTCACTTACCCAGTTTTAAGTGCTGCTAAAACTAAGGTTATGCATTCCTCAAATGCTAGGAAGAAGCCTGGGAACACTCCTGATGTTATTACTGCTCAGGGAAAGAAGTTAGAGGTTGTCACCTGTTATAAATATCTCTGTATTTGGTTTGATGATTCCCCGTCTTTTAAACCTCAGGTTGACAATCTTCTTAAAAAGCTGAGGCTGAATTTTGGGTTTTATTTCAGAAACAAGTCCTGTTTCTCCTTTGAGTCCAGGAAGATACTTTTTGCTGCTACATTTTTACTGGTCCTGGATTATGGTGATCTGTTGTACATGAATGCATCTGCACATTGTTTGTACTGCTGAGTAAACTTACTTCGTACACTTGTACTTTGATTGAACAGAGATCTGACTGTAGCTATAGTCTGAGATCTCAAGATTTAGTTTTGCTGTCTGTTCCCAGTGCATGGACTGAGCTGGGAAAGAAAACTTTTATGTGCTCTGCTCCTCTCACTTGGAATAACCCTCAAAAAAGTTGAAACTACATGAACTGGTCTCTCTGTCTGACTTTAAAGCTCTCATGAGTACAAGGATGAATGAGTCGGTTGGGTCTTGTCATTGTGTATAAGTGTTCTAATCTTTCTACGTGTTACTGTGTATCTTTTATGTTTTTTATTGTGTGGTTGTTTGGCTGTAACTTTTTGTGTGCTGCTGTCTTGGCCAGGTCCCCCTTGTAAAATAGATTATTGATCTCAAAGGGACTTTACTAGTACTTCCATGAGTACTTTAGGTCTTCACAACAAAGTAACAGGAACACAAGTCTGTGTCAGAGGAACTTAGGCATGTTAACATGGCCGCTTATGTAAAACATTATCCTTCTTTTTGCTGCTCCTTGACTCTCTCTGTCTGTCTCTCTCTGTTTCTTTCATCCAGCTGTGGCTCCAGTCGTGCCTGAGCTGAACAGCGACATAGACACCAGTAACTTCGACGACATAGAGAATGATAAAGGAGATGCTGAGACCTTCCCTCCACCCAAAGCCTTTGTGGGCAACCAGCTGCCATTTGTGGGCTTCACTTACTTCAAGGAGGACCAGTAAGTTTTTTGTCCTGACGTCTTCTTTGAGTATTTTACCTCAATGCTTTTGTCAATGTATTTTTGGTAACGATACAGGGATTGGAACAAAATGTCACTCTCATGTGTGGGAACTTTCACAGGAGCCTTTAGGCACAGGAACCAGGTTTAAGGACAGCACTGTGCCTAAAATGCAAGAGGCAGAAAAAGACAGCTTCACACCCATACCATTTAATACAGCCTTACACCAGTCAGACACTGTATGCCTGTTCGAGCTCCACACTGCTGCCTTGTTCTGACGGCCCCCTTTTTAAATGCCCTCTTTGCTCACGATGGAGAGTAGTTTTTGAAAGCCTGGTCTCGATCAGTAGGAGAGGTGGTAAAAAACATTTTGGATTTATGATCCTACAGGGCTTTAATCAGCAATGTTTTAACCTGAAGGCGTGTTTTTAGTTTTTAGGCATATATTTATGGAGCTTATGGAAGTACGTGTGTCAAAGCCATTTCTCTTTCACATTAATCTGACTAAAGAGAGTCAAGGGCAAAACAGTACGAATTTAAGTCAGTAGATCCAGCACAGAAGGGTGGTTAAAAAACAGAGAAGCTGGAATACATGAATATTAAGCAGGTAATAAAAAGGATAGCTTTAGATCAGCCTTCCTTGGATTTTAGACATAACTTTTCTGAAATCGTCTTCCTTTTTTTTTTGCAGTAATTTTGCGTGCATGTCCTGTTTTTGAATATTATGAGAAGCATGCAAGAACTTTTAAGCTGAAGGGAGGAAATTGTCTGAAAATGATGATAAAATTGCTTCAGATTTCTCGGTCATTATGCTGCCATGTGGCAGAGTCATGTAATGATTCACAGAGATAGCTGCCCACCATTACAAGTCCACCACCATGGTGGCAACAGATAGTGTGGGCTAGAGGCATCCTTCTCCAAAGGTAAACCCATCCAGATGTTAGACAGAGCCTGAAAGATCTTCAGACCTTATTGCTTTTTTCCACAGCGCCACAGTTTTCTGCTCCTTGCGTGAGGTTATGGGTCTTAAGTGATTTCTGAGTGGTTGTAATAAACCAATAAATGTGATGTGTGTCTTGGTGAACGTTCAGCTTCCCTTTGACCACCCAGCTGGCATTATGGATCTGGTTAGGGTGAAATACGTCACTTGGTTGCAGACAGTTGGACGTGGGGATAGTGTTGGATGTTGTCAGGGCTGGAAAGACTCCGCAGGTAAACTCAGTTACAGATGTTTATGGCTCTCGTCTGTTTCTTCTTTCTCTGTTAGGCTGCTGAAGGGAAGTAACAACTGCTCTTTGGAGGAGTCAGAAGACATTAAGGAAAACTCTGAGGATAAGGAGAATTGCTCGGACAGCAAAAAAGAGGTAGGTGATTCTTTATGTATACATATATATCTTATATTTTTATGTTGTGTATAGGGAGAGGACTGGAACATTACAGCTAAATCAGTGAAAAGAGAGGAAGGGAGAAATAAAGGAGGCACAAGTACAGTTCATTATGCATCTAAAGGGTTTAGATAAAACAGAAAAAATTATTAAAAAGTTTAGATGAATATGGGGCAGCCTCTAGGTCGGCAAGTAGTGTCCGTCCTAGAGAGTCCTTTGCAACGGCTCGGGTTTGATTCCAACCTTTGGCCGTTTCCCGCATACCATGCCTATTCTCTCTCACCCCTTCCTGTCAATCTCTAGCTGTACTGTAAATAAAGGTAACAAGAGCCCCCCCCCCACTCCCCACTCCCCCAAAACAGTTGAGATAAACATAACAGTCCCATTTTTCACAGTATTAATCCCTTGTGTCCTCCTGAAGTCAGAAAGTGAAAGTAGTTTTCTCCATATCTCCATAGAGTTGATTATGTTGATAAGAAGGTCAGATTTTTATTTTTTTTATTTTTTTTACTTGCAGCCATAAAATATTTCAGAAGGTATGTGTCACTTTTACTGATGTTTTTAAGAATATTTCCTATTTATAAATACATAAAAATAAAAAAAATAATCAGTTTCAAGCCCTGAGACTAAATTTCTCACTTCTCTCCAAAAAGGCTTCACATTTAGACAAGACCAAAAACTATGTGAATGGTCCGCCGAAACCGATCCACACTTTCTTTAGCAGGAGGAAACACCTCATATTGTTCCAGCAGAATTCTCTCCACAACAAGGAGTGGGTGGGAGTAGATTGTTTCCCAAACATGAAGCCATGTTTCCTCTGATATTACCATGTTAGTTTCCTTTTCCCAGCGCTGCTTTATGTAATTGTTTGAATAGAGGTGGGTGTTTTTGTGCGTGTGATCTTAAAATTCTGGTAACAGAGGAGAGATAAAAGACATAAAGTGACCGTAGTACTTAGTATTAATAGTATTTTAATTTTCTGGTTGTCTGTTTGTCTGAGCAGCTGCAGAAGAGGCTTCATAAGCTGGAGGAGCAGCTCGACCATGAGATGCAGGCCAAAGATGAGCTGGAGCACAAGTGCAAGTACGACCGGACTAAAAACACAAACTATGCTGAGCACCATTAGTGATTTTTTTTTTTTTTTAAATGCAATTTAATGCGTATTTGTAATTCTGACATTTCAAATGCAGCTGCAGCTGGTTCATCATCTGTGAGTCTTAACACAGTGTAGGAGCAGAGTAGTAGTATGGCGTGAAAGTGACTCAGTCTGTCTGTCATTATCTAAAATTGAATGAAATTAAAGGATATTTGTACAGCATTAGCATTAGGGCCTGGACACCACGCAGTGCGAGGACCCTATTGTAATCCAAGAGATTTTCTTCTTCCTCCAAATGAATTGCTTTTTGGGGGGCTTAACATACTAGAAAATGTTGATATTTTATTGGTTTCATGCTCAATTGCAAAAAATAGCTCAGTAGCGCCCTCTACAAAATTTCTGTGAAGCAGCCCCTGAAGCTGGTTTGACCTACATCTACCAAAATTGGTAGGCACGTGTAACGTCCCAAGACGTACAAAAAAGCCTCTTGGAACCATACCCTATACCTAACAGGAAGTCAGCCATTTTGAATTCTATGTGGAATTTTTGTGCATTTTTGGCCATTTCCAGGGGTCATACTTTGACGCCTCTTACAGATTTGATCCGATTGACTTCAGATTTGGTGTGTACTAGAGTGTGTAAAGACCTCGGACATCAAAAGCTGCTTACGCTTGAGTTTTCATCAACCTGTGTGACTGCAGTGAGGTGTCAAATGTCAGTGTTTTGCCAGTAAACAAGAAGTGGTTTGTAACTCCAGCATGCGTGGTCCAATCTGCCCCAAACTTGACATGTTTTATAAGGCTCCAGGCTCAAAGCCAACGACATGCACTGTAGGTGTCATGGTCATTGTGCCGCCTACTGGCAACAGGAAGTAAGACTTGTCAGACAATTATCTTTTGATTTACCTGAAATTTGCATTGTGGGGTCTTCAGTGGATTCACAGCAACATGACATATGATTAGTGTGTTCTCCAGCGCCACATAGTGGACAGAGGAATGGCACAAAATGTGAACTAGGTCACTCCACACACACTCTGTGAAGCATCATCTCACTTTCATAGAAAAGGACAGACGTGTCAGCCAGCATCCTGCCAGCACCAGTTTACCAGAGGTGTGAGGGCCTGTTCGTCGCTGCTTGCAGCTTTAATTTTTATCAGCTCCAATATTTTCCCTTTTTTGTGTAAAGAATTGCATTCTGTAGACGTTCAAACTTTTAGTGTGGACACGAGTTGTCATGTTTTTTGCATTGCACAACTGTCAGAGAAACATGCTGGCATCAATAAAAGGCACTGATAGCCCTGAAGGCATAAGATTCCAAAGGATTGGACAATGTGGAAACAGTTCTCGATTTTCATCCCTTTTTGTGCGTGTAGCATGTTTGTATTGATGAAAACCACATTCATTTTGAAACACTGGTGTATTTAAGAATGCAGAACACATCATCACTGCAAAGACTGGAATTCATTTTGTATGATATCAGTTGTATAAGTCAGGAAATGTGTTTGATAGCTTTGCACAACAGGAAATGAAATCCATTCCTACAAAGTTGACGTTTTCAGAGTTTCTGATGATGGTAGAAGTTAAAAAGAAAAGCACTTCAGCACTGTCCATCAGTTAAGTAAAGGAAGAATCGGTTGCTGATCTGGTGTCTGTGTCTGCTGCCTCTTAATTCGATGATTTTTGTCTGCAATCAAACTCTTCTTTTTCCCCAGAAATGCCACCAACCGTTTAGACAAGCTGGTCAAAGAATTAGACAAGGAGGTAAGACCATTTCCACCATGTACCTGATGTGATGTGATAAAGTCAGTAGTTCATTCCACTCAGCATTCATTGTGATTTCCTCTCTGATCAGATGAGCAGCAGGCAGAAAGTGGAGGCCTCGCTGAGGCAGCTGGAGATGGAGCGAGCTCTGCTGCAGCACCAGAGCGCCGAGAACCTGCGCAAGGTGGAGATTGAAACTGACAGAAAACGCGGCCTGGAGAACGAATGTAAGCACCTGGGGAATATCCTATCCAAACATTAGGCTTGAGACTCCTGAATAAGAGTATATAAATGCATTTTAACTCTTTAAATGTTTAGATTTCATCACACGCACAGAAATAAGCTGACAGTATATTTATGTAGGTCTCAAGTTGTTTTCATTATCATATATTTTATTTGCAAAATTGTCCTTACGTGTCAGACTGCCTATTAAACCCATTAACCACAAGGATGTCTGGGAGCTCTCGAGCACTGTTTATGCCACAGTATATATTCTATATGGTTGTACATGCTGGCTATCAGTGGGTGGATGTGTTATATCACACAATGCGTTAACTCTTTTACTTGTGCGTGTTCTCGTTAGTGAACAACCTGAGGGACCAGCTAGAGGATCTTAGGAAGAGGAACCAGAATTCCCAGATCTCCAATGAGAAGAACGTCCAGCTGCAGAAACAAGTGAGAGGAATCTTTTTTAATTTCAACTCTCTTGATGTTTCTCTATGTTGCTTCGCTGTAGTATTTGTACTTATGTAAATCAAACATGCTAATTTGATAATCCATATTCAAGCAACTGTGAATGCTGTTTTCATTATTCCCCTTCTTTCCCCTCGTTAAATCCCTTTTAATTTTGCTGCTGCGCTGACCCAGTTTAGCCTGCAGGGAAAAGTTTCATCCTGTCTGTTTCTCATCTGCAGCTCGAGGAGGCCAACGCCGTGCTGCAGGCTGAGCAGGAGGCGGCAGTGCGGCTGAAGAAGAGTCAGGCGGAGGCGCAGAAACAGGCTCAGAGCCTGGAGGTCAGCCTCAGGGAGATGCAGGAAAAGTGCAGCCAGCTTGAAAACAGCAAGATGGAGCTGGAGAAGCAACTGATGGGGCTGCAGGCCGAGCTGGAGGAGGAGAGAAGAGACCGTAACCTCGGGAAAGAAACTATTACTGACCTGCAGGGTGAGACGTGGCTGTCGATTACTCATTGGACAAGGATTGAAATAAGCTATTCCAAGTAGATTAAAAGCAAGACTATCAGTGTTGAGAGAAGAAATACAGTCAGGTCCATAATTATTTGGACAATGATACAGTTGTCGTCATTTTGGCTCTGTACACCACCACAATGGGTTTTAAATGAAACAATGAATACCTGCTTAAAGTGCAGACTCTCAGCTTTCATTTAAGGCTTTTTTCAAAAATGTAGTATGAACCGTGTAGGAATTACAACCATTTCTTCACACAGTCCCCCGACTTTAAGGGCTCATAAGTATTTGGACAAACTAACATAATCATCAATTAAACAGTCAGTTTTAATACTTGGTTGCAAATCCTTTACAGTCAATGACTGCCTGAAGTGTTGGACACATAGGCATCATCAGATGCTGGGTTTCTTCCCTGGTGATGCTCTGCCAGCCCTTTACTGCAGCCGTCTGCACTTCCTGCTTGTGTTTTGGGTGTTTTGCCCTCAGTTTTGGCTTCAGCAAGAGAAACGCATGCTCAGTTGGATTCAGGTCAGATGATATGACTTGGCCATTGCAGAACATTCCACTTCTTTGCCTTAAACATGTCTTTGGTTGCTTTTGCAATATGCTTCAGGTCAATGTCCATCTGCACTGTGAAGCATCATCCAATGAGTTTTGAAGCATTTAGTTGAATCTGAGCAGATAATGGTGCCCCAAACACTTCAGCTTTCATCCTGCTGTCTGAAGTATTTGTTAAAAGTTGAGAAAATGTCTGAAAGATATTAAATGTTCAAGTCTCACTTTAATATTCTGTTTATATGCATTTAGCCTGCACACAGTGGTTTGAATAAACCATATGCAGAAGAAAAGCACTGTTCAGATACAGCTGTTAAATTTTTATTCAGCAATCAACACCTTAGCATCCAGCCAGCCCTTATTTACAAGCCTTTTATATTGCAAACATGAATGTGTCTATTAAAATGTTATAAGGTTAGCAAAGTTAGATTGTACCAAAACAAAAAGATGAATTCGCTGCCATAACTGCAGGTAACCATCAAACTGTGATCTTCATGGGCTCATTCAGTAAACATCTCGTCAGTAGCAGGAAAAAAGCATTACACAACTTGGAGCAGGAGGTTGGACATGGTTATTAGATGTGAATCGTTTTTTGGATCAGTCCTTGGGAAATATCAGATCATAGGTGGAAACATCTGTTCAAAAGGCTGCGAGTGAAGCAAGAGGCTGTGAAAGCCAGAGCCGGACCAGAGCCAGCACCTCTTGTGAGACGCTGTTTGGAAACTTAAACGTGCTGAGTCCGTGCAGAGAGGCCAGTGGCTGAGGTCAGAGGGGACGTAGTCAAACAAAAGTGTTGCCTGTTTGCTGCAACGCCTCATGCTTTTTCTTTTTTCCTGGTAAAACTCTTCATGTGGGCGGAGGGAAAATAAACATAAACTGTGTTGTTTTTCGTATATTAGAGGCTGAATGTGTGCAGCAGCATTATGTAATGTCTCACCTAGGATCAGGTCTGTTTAAAACTGAACCATTCAGGTGCATTTTTTTGTAGTTTTACATTCGCTGCATGTCCTGCAAGTTCTCCTATAGTCTCCCTGTTCTCATCTCTCCACCTCAGGACGTATCTCTGGCCTGGAAGAAGAGGTGAAAGAGGTGAAGGCATCTCTGTCCAAGGTCAAGACTGAAAAGAAGCATCTGCATGAGAAGATAAATGAGCTCGAGAAGGTTTGTAGTCATTTCAGTTTGCTTATTCCCAATGTGAATTTACAGTTAAGGCTAGCCCAAGAGATATCTACCTTCCTTCTAGGTTACAGTGACGTTGTTCCCCAGCATTTTGAAAACTTACCTTGGCTGCTCCCATGCAATACGTTAATTCAGTACGAAACATTCCTATGTGACGATAGCCATTAGAAACCCAATATCCCCTTTGATTCTACAGGCGAAGAGCAACCAAGAGATCGACTTGACGTTCAAGCTGAAGTCGCTCCAGCAGAGTCTGGAGCAGGAGGAGGCAGAACACAAGGCCACCAAAGCCAAGCTGGCAGATAAAAACCACATCTACCAGTCCATCGAGGAGGCGAAATCAGAGGCCTTAAAAGGTGAGGAGCTGGAGGGAGAGCAAAAGTGTCAAAGATGACTATTGGATTGATGAAACACCATCGTTAATGCTTGGTGGTAGGATGTTTTGTTGTATCTCTCACCGCTAACTTTTTTCACTACGTCAACGACTAACGGATCTATATAACGGTTCTGGCTTTGTTTCTTGACTTTTCCAGCTCTGCTTTATGTTTTCATGTTGTCAGTCCGTACAGAGATACGTCTGTGTGTATGTACGTGTCAGGCTATCTCAAGAACGCCTCAGAGGAATTTCTTCAAATTTGGCACCAATGCCAACTTGGATTCAACAATGAACTGATTAGATTTTGGTGGTCAGAGGTCAAGGTCACTGTGACACTGCATCTATCTGATTCTTGTAAATGCAATATTTCAAAAATGCCATCAAATTTGGCACAAACATCCACTTGACTGCAAGGATGAACTCATTTTAGTGGTCAAACGATATGCCACCGATATGCCGATATACAGTTTTGTTTTCCTTAACTGCGCTGTTTTGCTCCTGGCGTGCCTCTTACTGCCTGCACGTACCACTCTAGGCTCTTAAAGGCAAACTCAAGATCTACCTTTTTACCCTGGCTTTTAATGGAGCTCTCCTTTATTTTTATTTTATTTTTTTTTTATTTTGTATTTATGATTATTGTGTTGTTTTTTTTTATTTATTAATCTGTTTTTATTTAGCTGGCATATTCTTCAACTTCGTTACTGTTAGTTACTTAATTACTGTTAATTTTGTGTCAACTACCATTTTTACAGCAGACATACAGTACAGGCCAAAAGTTTGGACACACCTTCTCATTCAATGCGTTTTCTTTATTTTCATGACTATTTACATTGTAGATTCTCACTGAAGGCATCAAAACTATGAATGAACACATGTGGAGTTATGTACTTAACAAAAAAAGGTGAAATAACTGAAAACATGTTTTATATTCTAGTTTCTTCAAAATAGCCACCCTTTGCTCTGATTACTGCTTTGCACACTCTTGGCATTCTCTCCATGAGCTTCAAGAGGTAGTCACCTGAAATGGTTTCCACTTCACAGGTGTGCCTTATCAGGGTTAATTAGTGGAATTTCTTGCTTTATCAATGGGGTTGGGACCATCAGTTGTGTTGTGCAGAAGTCAGGTTAATACACAGCCGACAGCCCTATTGGACAACTGTTAAAATTCATATTATGGCAAGAACCAATCAGCTAACTAAAGAAAAACGAGTGGCCATCATTACTTTAAGAAATGAAGGTCAGTCAGTCCGGAAAATTGCAAAAACTTTAAATGTGTCCCCAAGTGGAGTCGCAAAAACCATCAAGCGCTACAACGAAACTGGCACACATGAGGACCGACCCAGGAAAGGAAGACCAAGAGTCACCTCTGCTTCTGAGGATAAGTTCATCCGAGTCACCAGCCTCAGAAATGGCAAGTTAACAGCAGCTCAGATCAGAGACCAGATGAATGCCACACAGAGTTCTAGCAGCAGACCCATCTCTAGAACAACTGTTAAGAGGAGACTGTGCCAATCAGGCCTTCATGGTCAAATAGCTGCTAGGAAACCACTGCTAAGGAGAGGCAACAAGCAGAAGAGATTTGTTTGGGCCAAGAAACACAAGGAATGGACATTAGACCAGTGGAAATCTGTGCTTTGGTCTGATGAGTCCAAATTTGAGATCTTTGGTTCCAACCACCGTGTCTTTGTGAGACGCAGAAAAGGTGAACGGATGGATTCCACATGCCTGGTTCCCACTGTGAAGCATGGAGGAGGAGGTGTGATGGTGTGGGGGTGTTTTGCTGGTGACACTGTTGGGGATTTATTCAAAATTGAAGGCACACTGAACCAGCATGGCTACCACAGCATCCTGCAGCGACATGCCATCCCATCCGGTTTGCGTTTAGTTGGACGATCATTTATTTTTCAACAGGACAATGACCCCAAACACACCTCCAGGCTGTGTAAGGGCTGTTTGACCAAGAAGGAGAGTGATGGAGTGCTGCGGCAGATGACCTGGCCTCCACAGTCACCGGACCTGAACCCAATCCAGATGGTTTGGGGTGAGCTGGACCGCAGAGTGAAGGCAAAGGGGCCAACAAGTGCTAAACACCTCTGGGAACTCCTTCAAGACTGTTGGAAAACCATTTCAGGTGACTACCTCTTGAAGCTCATGGAGAGAATGCCAAGAGTGTGCAAAGCAGTAATCAGAGCAAAGGGTGGCTATTTTGAAGAAACTAGAATATAAAACATGTTTTCAGTTATTTCACCTTTTTTTGTTAAGTACATAACTCCACATGTGTTCATTCATAGTTTTGATGCCTTCAGTGAGAATCTACAATGTAAATAGTCATGAAAATAAAGAAAACGCATTGAATGAGAAGGTGTGTCCAAACTTTTGGCCTGTACTGTATATCGGATGTAAATACCAGCTATCGGTATCTCTGTTTCGTAATAATCGGTATCGGCATCGGCTCTGAAAAAAAACATATCGGTCGATCCCTCGTCAAACGTTACTGTGACCTCATAGAAACGTTTTGGGCCATAACTCAAGGATTCATTTGCTAATGATGACAAAGTTTCACACAAATATGTAATAGATTAAAATGATGTAGTGATGACATTTTATATCCAAAAGGTCAAAGGTCAGCTTCCCTGTGACATCATAATGTTCTGCAGAAAGCTGGCCATTACTCAGCCTCACAACTCAGGAACAGAAGGGGAGACATTTGGAATTGGTGACTCTAATGTTGGGTGTCCACCTTGAAACTGTCATGACTGTGTAGATCTTGGATGATGCCAGGTTGTAGATGTGTGTGAAGCATCCACATTTAAGACCATTCTGTGCAGCAACATTTGAAGTATTCTTTAACAGTCATGGCTACATATGAGTCTGGACAGACATGGATGTAAACTGAAACTGCAGCTTGACTGGTTCGCAGAGGCAAACAACCACATGGCTTTAATTCTAGTTTCTGTTCCTCCTCTTTCCAGTCCGTCTCCTTCCACCACTTATCCACGCTTAGCCTCTAGTAAATCAAAATTCACATCGCAGTCTGACTTTTTACGCAGTCACAGCTGTGTGTTAATGAAGTGTTTCACAGCTTTGAATACAGCTCAGTCAGTGGCAATCAAGGACCGGAGCGATCTATTTAATAAACTGTATCTTACATTAACACAAATATTGAGATAAAAAAACAAAAGAGCACAAGTATTATCTATTATGGGGGCCTGATTGATGGAGTAGACCTTGGACAAACTGCAGTTCTTGAAAGGAAACTTACTGGCCGGCCTTCAACAAACAATGTTTTACTGTGGTTGTGTCTTCGGGCACCTGGCCATTTATCTGGCGCTCCTAGCAGGTTGAGTCAAAGGCAGAAATTGTTTTGTCAATACTGTGATATTGAGCGCAGGATAAATTACCCTCCTGATCGTTTCCCTGGTTGTTTCGTTGCAGAGATGGAGAGCACCCTGCAGGAGGAGCGTAGCCAGAAGCTGCAGGTGGAGGGAAAGCTGCTGCAACAGGAGAAGGACCTGTCCATGCTGGAGCGCGACTACAAGCAGGCGCAGCACAAACTGGAGGAGCTGCAGGCACAGAAGGCCAAACTTTCTGAGGAGGTGTGTCTCTCTCTTTATTAATAAATCGCTTGATAGACAATTATAAATTATTATATATTGATAAATGTGCAGGCTCTAAGTCTCTGAAATGGTATTATTCAGGCCTTGACCAACGCTTAGCTGAGCCTAGTCAGGTTTGATAGTTGGTTTGTTTTTTCCATCTTCTATTTATTTCAGAAAAGTGAACAATCGATAAGTAGCAACGACCAAGGGCTGAACATACAAACATAACAGTACACTGAGGGTCATATCAAATCTCCACATCCCTTCCCTCCACCCCAGACAGTCCAGTATTGATCACCACGTCAAGTTTTCAAAGCAAAAAAAAAATTTAAAACAGAAACCAAATGTCGTGAAAAATTTCACCACAGGCCTGTTTTTTTTGTTGAGTTGATCTTCAAGGTAAAAAATGTGATATTCGGTTTATGAACAGCTTAAAAGTTGGAGGAGATTTGTTTTTATCAAAGGAGAAGTATGTATGTCTTAGCAAAATATGTTCTAGTAATAGATACTAATTTTTATTGAATTGAAAATCGGTCGTATCGTTTACTAAATAGGATCAAGGGTTTAAATCAAATTCTATTTCCAAAACTGATTTAGTGAAGTCGTGAATCGACTCTAGAAAGTTGTCAGCAGATCGCATCACTAAAACAGATGCATGAACATTCCGTCTTTCGTTTTGTATCTAGGACAGTTTGAAGGAATGAATGAATGAATTGATTACTTTATTTCAAGCAAAACATCATCACAATATTTCAAACTTATTTACAGCTATTAATAAACATACAAACAGTCTTACATATTAAATATACAAATCTTATCTCAACCAAGCCCCAGATAAATAAATATTTACTTGTAAATGAGGAATATTTTCTTTCATAAATGTTTCGTTGGGTAATTTTATCTAAAACCATCCTAAGATCTTTTCCCCAGATATTTAATTTAGTTATAAAAGATGAATAACCTTCTCTGGGTAGAATATCATAAAATTTGCAGAATTTACCTTTAATTATAATGGAGGACATTAATATTTCCTGTTTTTCAGATAATCCAGACCTAAAATTATTTTCTTTGACAAGTGGTTGTACAACATTCCAAATTTGTAGCCATTTAAAAAATACCTATTTTAAAAACATGCCAAACAGCAGGTTATTTTCTTCACTATGAATATTTGCAGCTTTTCCTTTTCACATTTCAAGTCTTTTTAACCGATGTTCAGACAAAATATGCCATAAAAATGACACGTTGGGCATTTGTCCTCATTTCTAGACTTTTAATAGACTATTTGATTGTTTGTAATGTAAATTATCACCAGTTTGTTTTGCAGCTTGTGTGCCACCACTGAACATGCTTGTGTGCATGTGTGTTTGTGCAGGTAAAGAGCCTGGGCTTGCGTCTGGAGCAGGAGGTCCACAAGCGCAGCCTGAGTCAGAGCGATCTGAAAATGCAGAACCAGCAGGTGTCGGTGCTTCGCACCTCCGAGAAACAGCTCAAACAGGAGCTCAACCACCTGCTGGACATGAAGCAGGTCCTGGAGAAACAGAACCAGGAGCTCCGCAGGTCAGTCACACATAAATCACATAATAAGCATAATGCATACTGAGCATAAACACATAATGCAGCTGAGTTTGCTGTAACGTTGTTGGCAAATGGTTGTTGAGACTCTGATTCATCGTATCTGGTTTGAGGAAAGTGCTTTGGCTCTGGTGGTTATTTGGCCAGCAGCAGTGATTGACAGATTGTTGGTCCTGTTCCAGGGAGAAACAGGAGGCTGGTGACCAGCTGAAGGAGCTGAAGGACCAACTGGAGGCTGAGCAGTATTTCACAGTAAGTCTTAACAATTTTTCTTCTTTTGTGTACCTTGTTTACAAGCAGTTATATTGCCAAACAATATAACAGCCCTCAGCAGAGACAACATAATATTGTCAGACTAGTAAAATAAACTCTCAATCTCTCCACAATGAGAGGGTCAAATGTTTATATTCCACCTGCGTCCAGAATCTGTGATAGAAATTAACTGAATCCTAAACTGTTTTTGTCCTTAGACCCTTTACAAGACACAGATTCGTGAGTTGAAGGACGAGCGAGATGAGAGGAATAAGCTGTACAAAGAGCTGCAGCAGCGACTGGCAGAATATCAGGAGGAGAGGTAACCAGCTCAAACACTGCAGCAGTAAAATGACCTGATATTTCTGCTCTGTTGTAAACAGCACACACATCAGAGGGTCTACAATTTGAACAATTAAACGGCACCTATAGGGCATTTTACCAGCTATCGTTATTGGAGGAACTTGCCTAGTGGCTGATGGCTGCGCAGCCTCGAGGACATACCTCACCGACCACAGCTGAATATGGGAGGGCAGAAATAAGGAGCTGATCTTCTAGTGTTTCAATTATAAAACAACATGTAGGTTCCATTCTAAAAATGTACACATGGAAAAAAGCCAAAAATGGCATGCGCCAAAAAATATTCAACAGTTTCTGCAATCAGGCTTCCATCTCACAATCTGCGAAAATGAGGCGCGGCTCTTGATGCATTGGATGTGCTGAATGTGCATATTAAGGCAGTACAGGAGGAGGCGCACATTAATAATCCTCCAGGACTGTAACATGCACATGTTTAGCGTGAAATTCATAGGTTGAGTTTTTAGAGTTAAATGTCAGTGGCAGTGAAGCATTCGCAGGATAATACCACAAAGATAACATCTATCTGTTTTTTAAGAAGGTAACAGACTTTCCAGATTAGTGTTATTTGCCTTCTGTCAGCCAAAATGGAGGACTTGACCTTTAACTGAATGAGTGGAGCAGATTAGCAGCGTTCCCAGATGCACTACAGCCAAAGATCACTGAGGATAACAAGTTACACTCTGATCCAGTGTAACTCTCACTTGGAAAATTGTGCATTGACAAAAAGGTCATTCATAAATGAAAGTCTGTCCACACTACTGCAGAGTGTGTCTGACTGGCATAACAACAGCAGGGGTAGGATTTATCCAGCTGTAGAAATTTGTTAACAAGATAATAACAGTTCCTTCTCCTGCTCTCTCCACAGGGACTCCCTGACAACCCAGCTGGAGGCCAGTCTGACCAAGGCGGACTCTGAGCAGCTGGCTCGCTCCATCGCTGAGGAGCAGTATTCGGACCTGGAGAAGGAGAAGATCATGAAGGAGCTGGAGATTAAAGACATGATGGCGAGACACAAACAGGAGCTCAGCGACAAGGAGGCCACCATCAGCTCGGTGAGATCAGAGAGTGATTTTTTTTTATTAATTACATCCAGGAAGTTTTTGTTGTTTAAATAACAACCTGGAGTGACGTCACTTTCCTTGTGCTGCTTTCAGACGACTTTCGCAAGTATTTAAACCTTTGAACTTTGAGCAAATTGATGTGATTTCTTTCAAAAACATGGGGGAAAAAGGCAATGAGCAGCTTGGTAAGAAATGTCCCACAAATTGCAAAAAAATTAATAGATAAAGAAAATTATGGGTAAAAAAACCTAGGAAAAAAGAAAGCTTGGCAAAAACTATATTTCTAATTATTATTATTATTATTATTATTATTATTATTAATATTATTGCATTTTTAATTTATTTTTACTAATTTCTTTTTTACTAATTTTTTGGTTTTTATTTCTCTTTTTATAATTTTTTGCAATTTTTTTGGGTCATTTCTTCGTTCATTGCTCATTGCCTCCTTCCCATGTCTGTGAAAGAAATTAAGCCAATCTGCTCAGGTGTCACGTATTGCCAAAAAGACAAATGACAGACTAAAAGTAATCAATAAGAACACAGAACAGTACAATACAGAACAGGTCACCAAATACTTGGTTACAGTGATGTATTGTTGACCTTTTTTGAATCATTCTTTGTTATTTACATGTTCCTGTTCCAAAAATTAACTGAAATAATAAAATCTATCAAAAAACTTTTCTATGGATGTCAGTTTAAGGCCCACGACGGAGGACAAAATGTGACCTGCAACAGTGTGGCTTGTTGATTTTAGCCTAACTCAGGGGTAGGCAACCTGTGGCTCTTTCGCCCTTCTCCAGCGGCTCCCTGTGGCTTTGGCAAAAAATTATAAAGAAATTATTAATGGCTATTTCTTAACATTTTGATTTCAATTTTTCATTGTCATAGTCCTTGAGTGATTCTTACATTCGGTATTGTAAAAATGTGTAGCCTCTTCAGAGTTTAAAAAAAAAAAAAAAAAAGCTTTTACATTTCATCAACTAAATGTTCATCAGACGGCCTATCACCTTTTACTTTAAATTTTGCTGAACCTTAATAGCAATGGCTTGTCTTGGACCTAGCTATGGACTCCAGATCGAAAAAAGTCTTGGAGGAGAGTCGAGAATTAAACAGTGTGTGGGCATATTCGTTTGCTTTTACAGCCAACCCTGCTAAGTTAAAGTACCAAACAATCATAAATAGCCCACTGCGGAGTAGCTGCCTTGTAAAACATATCAGTAAAGGCATATTTAGACCTATTAGTAATGTTAATGGGTGAATTTAAACTTACTGTTACCTTCATTACAAGGCTCAAACATGTTTTGCGGCTCCAGGCAGATTATTTGAGAGCTTTTTTGGCCAAAAATGGCTCTTTTGACAGTAAAGGTTGCTGACCCCTGGCCTAGCTGATTGCTGGAAATGCCTTTTGCTCCATGACTTTGTGGAGGAATTGCAGCCCGCCCCAGTTGGTTAAGAGGAGTTTGCAGTCAGTGATGGAATAAAACATTTTTTTTAACAATTGCGAATCACCACAACCGTGAGAGGTCCATGAGCACACAGTCATCAATGTGCACACAAAATATGAGGCTGATCCTGGTCCAGTAGTGTTCGAGATATGCTGCAGACACAGATACACACATTTAGACACACACGACCAAATGCATGATCCCCTCCTAAAAATCTACTAATGTAGTACATTGTCTCTTTCTTATTTCTTCTTCCAGTTCTTATTAATGTTAAGCATTTGGTGACCTGTTTTTAAATGTGCCGTTTAGTTATCTTGCTTGTTTCTTTGACACTCACCTCACCTCTACCCTGACGTCCCCACAGCTGGAGGAGTCCAACCGCACTCTGACGGTAGATGTGGCTAACCTGGCCAGCGAGAAAGAGGAGCTCAACAACCAGCTGAAAGACATGCAGCAACGTGAGTGTCATTTGGAGCTAAGGAGCGCCACAAAAAGAGAACTCATTACTACTGGAACGACATTTCCCTCAGTCCTGGAAAATGTGTTAAAAAACCATCTGACATATCTGGATGATTTATAGGGAGAGGGCTGTAAAAATGTCATGAAAAGTAGCCATTAATCTCTTCATCAGGGGAGCAAGTGTCTGCAGATCGGCAGAATACTGGTCTTCAGACTTGTAATTTATGGATTACTTCTGTAAAACTTATGTTAAGTATGTATCTGTTATTTATACAGAGTTCCAGAAAGCCAAGGAGGAGGAGAAGCACATGAACTCGCTCAAACTGTCCTTTGAAAAGCAGCTGCAGAATGAAAGGACACTAAAAATTCAGGTGTGTGTCTGGGCGCCTACACAGGTCTGGAAGGCCTGGGATATTTTCTATAGTCTCCTACTTTTACCGTCTGACTTTTTACGACTGTTATGTCACATCATTTGTTGTTAAGAATAATGTTCAGCTGCAGGCTTTGTGTTGAACTCGGGGCAAAATCACTGAGATCTGAAACAAGTTTTTAAAAAATCTATCTCGCAGCAACTTTGATTTTCCTGCAGACCTTCCTGAGTTCACAATAATCACAAGTAAATCTCTGAAAAGCTTTATTGCTGCGTTTTTACTTCCAGGCTGTCAACAAGCTGGCCGAGGTGATGAACAGGAGGGAGACGGTGCGAGGAGGCCACCGAGGCACCGGCACCGAGGTGCACAGGAAGGAGAAGGAGAACAGGAAGCTTCAGCTGGAGCTGAGAGCAGAGAAGGAGAAGCTAAACAGCACCATCATCAAATACCAGAGAGAGATGATGGATATGCAGGCGGTCAGTACACCGAACAAATAGCATGAATATAAACATGTTATCAGTTCTTATGCAAATTACAAACAAGAGTAAACACTCTGAACTGCAGTTAAAGTCTGCTTGTGTCTGTTATTTAGCTGATAGCAGAAGAGAACCAGGTGCGTCTGGAGCTTCAGATGGCGTTGGACAGCAAAGACAGCGATATCGAGCAGCTGCGTTGCCAGATCTCTTCCCTCAGCGTTCACTCTCTGGACTCCACCAGCATCAGCAGTGGAAACGACCTGGACATGGGTGACGGATACCCAGGTAGGCAAACAAAGGAGTCTTCATCTCACACCCATCCTCCTATGATTTGGCACCCACATGTACAAAGAACAAAAATTCAAACGCAACTCTTTTGTTTCTGGGGGGAAAAAAAAATATGAGTTCAAATTATCAAAAGGCTTAGTTTGCTCAAATTTTGTTCACCAATTTGTTTACATGTGTGTTAGTGAGAACTTTGCTGATATAATCCATCCACCTGACAGGTGTGGCATATCAAGATGCTGATTAAACAGCATCATTACTACGCAGGTGTGCCTTGGGCTGATCACAATAAAAGGCCACTCTAAAATGTGCAGTTTGATCACACAGCACAATGCCACGACGTCAAGTTTCGAGGGAGCTTGCCATCAGCATGCTGACAGCAGGAACGTCCACCAGAGCTGTCTCATATGTCTTTACTGAGAAGTTGGCAGTACATCCAACCAGCTCAGGATCTCCACATCCAGCTTCTTCTAACCAGCCAGATGACCCTGCAGTTGAAGATGACCTCAGATGATCTTGCAGGTGAAGAAGCTGGATGTGGAGGTCCAGGGCTGGCTCACTAGGCTGGTTGGATGTACTGCCAAATTCTCAGAAATGGCAATGGAGACGGCTTATGGTCGTGAAATGAGCATTTAATTCACAGGCAAAACGAAACATTTCAAAGTAGCCTTTTATTGTGACTAGCCGAAGACACACCTGTGTAATAATCCTCCATGTTGATATGCCAGACCTGTCAGGTGGATGGGTTATGGATAATGTTGGCAAAGTGTTCACTAACACACTTTAAACAAATTTGGATATGAAAATTGAAAGAAAAGTCTTTTGTATGCATTGAAAAAGTCAGAGATTTTTTCATTTCAGCTCAAAAGTGCTGCATTTATATTGTTGTTTAGTGTACATTCAAAGAGTCAAATAGACTTCCTGCATTCCACTTCCTGCAGCCCCTCTTCCTGAGTTCTCCCTGTTTCCTTTGTTTTGACGTTGAGTCTCTTCCAGGCCAATTGTTGCTGACCTTTTCCTCTTTATGCCTCTTCCTCCCCCACCTCCTTTCACCTTAACCTCTCTTTTCGGGGTCCGGCACAGTGCGCATTACTCAGTCTCACACCTCCGAATCAATGTCCTTCACCTACCAGCGCACACACAAATCTGTGCGCATTGACACACGACCCAACCTTCACTCTGCCCACTCTCTCTTCGATTCTGACTCTGACAACGACAATGAAGAAGAATATGACGGGCAGGTGGAGCAGGGCCACCGTCCCCTGGCCCTCACCTACGAACAGCCCCCTGAGGCTGAACCTGCAGGTGACCCTGCATGGCAGTGCAAACCTGGGATGGGGATACAATGACCCAGCAATGTTACACTGGTTTAAAATTTGACTTTTTTCCTAAATTAATTAATACGTGAAAGAAATACCCCCAACCCTGGTTCAGTCCTGCAAAGTTTCAACTAATCCCTTTACCCTTGACTCTGTCTCTGCTGTGCTTTAATCCTTTTTAATATTAACCGGACATCTGAATACTCACAGCTTGATGACGGCCTGCTTTGCTCAAATTTATTCCACTGCAAAAGATGTGGACATTTCTCCAAGAGTGAAGTTTGTGTGTGGAGTTTTTCCTGAGCCTAGAACAAAAAGCTTTCCACTTGAGCTTATTTTTCCTCACCAGACACCGTGTTGTGTGCTGCAGATTCCCTATAATCCGCACAGCTCCCACTGAATAATCTGCTGCTGAGACCAAGTGGCAAAGCTTCCTGCCACTTGCCCTTTGGTTTTAACGAGGAATCATTTCCTCTCCCAAGTGATGAGGGCTGTTTAAAGAAAATGCTGCCATTTGGAAATGTCAAGGTGTTCTTTCAAGTGGTTCACACGATTGAAGGCAGTTCTCCTCTTTGTGTTAACATCTTCCTGTTTTTTTTTTTTTTTTTTTTTCTCTGCAAATTAGACTCCAGGCTGGAGGGCTGGATTTCAGTTCCTAACAAGAAAGAAAAGCGGTTTGGCTGGGAAAAAAAAGTAATGTATCCACCGCTATATTTCATATACACATCTGTTTTCTTAGCAAATACCACTACCGTTTAGTCATATCCCGCTCTAATCGTTCGGCCCTTGTTGCCTTTTCCTTTAAAGTATATAGTTGTGAGCAGTAAGAAGATCCTGTTCTACAACAGCGAGCAGGACCGAGAGCAGGCCAACCCTTTCATGACCCTGGACATTGAGTAAGTCATTTAAAGCGGGGTTTGAACATGTAATACCAAACATTTCTTATGATGGTAAAATGCATTTATAGAGAACTTAACAGAACTGAGGTCGTACTTGGGCACAGAAGTGCTTTGAGCTAAATGCTAACATCATCATAAATTAACATGGTAGCAGCGCTAGCATCACTAACATCATCATAAACAGACATGCTAGCATGCTAAGCGCAGGAGTGCTTTGAGCTTAATGCTAACATCATCATGCTACATCATCATAAACAGACATGCTAGCATGCTAAGCACAGGAGTGCTTTGAGCTTAATGTTAGTCTCGCCACCAGACATTCAGAGATCTCCGCCTTCTGATAATGCTATCATCATGTTAAACAGACATTATAAACAGAAATGGTAGCAGTGCTAGCATCACTAACATCATCATAAACAGACATGCTAGCATGCTATGCACAGAAGTGCTTTGAGCTTAATGCTAACAACATCATGTTAAACAGACATCATAAATAGACATGCTAGCATGCTAGGCACAGAAATGCTTTGAGCTAAATGCTAACATCATCATTCTAAACAGACATCATCATAAACAGACATGGTAGCAGCGCTACCATCACTAACATCATCATAAACAGACATGCTAGCATGTTAGACACAAAAGTACTTTGAGCTAAATCCTAATATCAACATGCTAACGTGCTCACAATGTCAGTGGTAACAGAAATCAGTTCCTTGTATTCACCATCTTAGTTGAGCGTGTTAGCATGCTAACATTTGCTAATTAGCACTAAACACAAAGTACTGAGGCTGGTGAGAAAGTCATTACTTTTGGTATTTGAACATAAACCAAAGCATTGGACAAATTTAATATTTAATATTTGACTTCATCCTGAAGGGGACATGAATATTTCTGCCAAATCCATCCAGTAGTTACAGTTCACTGAAAACTAAAAATGTGACCCTCATGGTGGCACTGGAGGAAAAGTCAGAGGACCTGTTGGGGCCTAAGAAGTGGACAGCCATGCTGCTAGTGTGGCTAAAAGCAAAAATAAGATAAAATACAGAATAAGAACAAAAGGCAAACTTTAAAGCAGCAGTAAAAAATAATGACTGTTTAAAAATCAGTAGAATACAATCAGGGTAAAGTCCCTTAAAAGAGGAAACTGACTCATCTAAGTATACATATTCGCTGCTACACATTATGATATTTTTTTACCCTTATTAATTGCACTTAATCACCATGGTCTACTCTCAACTATTCTGTCTCTCTCCATCCAACAGTAAGCTGTTTCATGTCCGCCCTGTCACTCAAACTGATGTATACCGTGCAGATGCCAGAGAAATTCCAAGGATATTCCAGGTAATGAGCTAGGACACTTCCTGTTACCGTCTCTTTCTTTCCCCTCTCCCTCCGCTTAGACTGTCAGTATAAATGAGGTTCTCTCAATTCAACTGCCTGCCTTAATAAACCCTCAATAAAACTCCTCTCCCTCTCCTTTCTTTCCAAAGATCCTGTACGCCAACGAAGGCGAGATCAAACGGGATCAGGAGGTCGCAGTTGAGCCTGCGGCATTTGGTGAACGTCCCTCCTACATCAGCCACAAGGGCCACGAGTTCATAATCACTCTGTACCACTTCCCATCCAGCTGCGAGGCCTGCACTCGGCCCCTGTGGCATGTTTTCAAGCCCCCGCCAGCCCTCGAGTGCCGCCGCTGTCGCACCAAGTGCCACAAGGATCACCTGGACAAAAAGGAGGAAGTGATTGTGCCCTGCAAGGGTAAGAACGCTCAGTCAAGAGATGATAGGGAACTTAACCTCTTCTGTGGAGCCAGCATTAAGTTGTACACCACCACGATTCTGCTTGTTTCAGCAGCTGCTGGATTTCCCACTATAGAAACCTATTTTATTAGATATTAAAGGTATACTATGCAGAATATTTCTAAAAAGTAATGTTTAGACTCATACAGAAGAAGCGTGTGGCGATGTATTTATCTGCAGAGTATCTGCCCTCAGCCTGTATTTTCTGATGTTCATCCTATTTTACCATGTTCGGGATGTTTGAGGATGCAGCGCACACTTGAGGTTGGAAAGTTAGCAACCAGGTGCCAGACAATAAGCAGCACACATCAAAGAGGAAGCTACGAAAATTGCAGATACGACGCAGAGAATAACTAAATAAATAAAAAAAAAGCGATGCAAAATGCCAGGAAGATAAAGTGGGCTTTGGCTTTCACTTTTCCTTGTGATTCTGTTTACAAACAGTAGCCTACAATTGCTGCACAGTGTACCTTAAAGAGGGGCAATTAGTAAATCCTCATCAATTAGTCATTGATTTATTTTCTGATTTATTGTTTAGACTGCAAGATGTCAGGAAATAGTAAAGGATGGATGAATGGATGGATGGAAGCTGGAACTAATCATATTTGCCCTTTTTGCTTGAAAAATGACAATGCTAATGATTGTATCATTTTTCAAATTGTTGCCAATTAATGACCTTTTGGTCAAAAAAATAATTGGTAGTTTCAGCTCTATAAATCAGTTACTGCTCATCCTGGCACAGGGTCATGGTAAAGCCTGATTTATGGTCCTGCGGCATACCTACGACTTACCTACGTCGTTGCCGTGACGCCGTTGTGAACCCTTCGATCTTCTCCTTCACTCCATTTCGTCGCGGTGCAATTCATCGCCAGAGCGGTAGGAGGCTGCGTTCCTTTCCTGAATGGTTATCGTCGTCTCTAGTTGATTCTTTGTTTAGCTTCCGGCTTTTCCGGTCACAGAGAAATGAACGCGGAGCACGGACAGACGGCTCCGTCCGTATCCGTATTGAACGTTGAGCATAAATGGGCCTTAATACTGCAACATCTAGATCGCAACAGAAGATGTAGAGATGGTGGGGATGGCGCAATCTGGAAATACGGAACCGGAAATGCGTTGCTACCAAGCAAACCAATCACAGCCCTCTCTGTCTGCGCTGGGTCTGCGTCTCCTCGATGTGTAGTTACATTTTTGGGGAGGTGCACGTCAGGCTACTCTGGGGGCTATTGCGAGTCTTCTGCGTAGCCACGTACCCTACGACTTAGCTACGTCGTTGATTTAACGCAGGACCATAAATCAGGCTTAAAGCTGGAGCCTATCCCAGCTGACACTGGGCAAGAGGCAGGGTACACCCTGGACGGGTCGCCAGACTATCACAGGGCTGACACATAGAGACAGACAACCATCCATGCTCACATTCACACCTACAATCAATACAGAGTCCTCAGTTAACCTAATCTGCATGTCTCTGGATTGTGGGAGGAAGCCGGAGAACCAGGAGAAAACCCACACCCATGAACATATTTTTAATTTAATTACCACTGAGGTGACGTTGAGAGCTTTATGGTCTTCATCAGATAAAACACAACATAGAGACACACCTTCAAAAACCTACTCTGCCAGGTCAGGTAACATCACTGGAAACATCACCAAGGTGGTAATTAAATTAAATATATGTTCATGGGAGCATTGTCTAATGTGCAGACTCTTTATTTCTGTCTGTTGCATTATCTCTTGTCCAGCACCTAGTGTTCATCGTCTGAATGTGCATGCTTTTGGACACCTTTTGGCAAAATATTATAAACATTTTTCAGTGTACTTCAGTCCAACACAACACTACCACAATGTGCAGCATGAAATTGCACCATAGTATTTAGCCAGCATACAAGAAAATATAAAACTCAGCATAAATGTAATGCAGTGTTTCTTTTTTTCTGGTCCTTCAGTGTGGCTTGGCTGTTATGTTGGAAAATTACTTGATTTGATTTCTTTGTAAAAACAGCTGTTAAAACCACAGAACTCTTGTTTCTAATCTGATTTAAATCCCTTCCTTTCACAGTAAACTATGACATGTCCACCGCCAAAGAGCTGCTTCTGCTGGCCAACTCCAAGGAGGACCAGCAGCGCTGGGTCAGTAACCTCCTGAAACGCATCCCGAGGAAACACCCGACGTTGAGTCCTCCCGCAGCAATACAAAACAGCCTTCCTGAAGCAACAGCGCGCTCGTCTCCACAAGCCTCTCCGCGGCCTTCACCCAGGGGGTCACCTCATATGTCGGCGAGACATCGCGGAGCCATCAAGGTCCAGCCCAGCAGACAGCAACAGCCGTCAGGGAAGCCCAGGTGAGGACGGGGAAGATTTTACCGCACACAGGAGATTTTTGACTTTTTTGTTTCTGCAATGACTGTTTACACATGATATAACCATCTTATTCAAAGGTCAGAGTCACTGTTTGTTATTTTATAAAGTTTCAAACTCAGTGTGCAAAGATGATTGACACATGTGAGGTTGTATTTGTTTTTAGACATGTGACACTTTCGGAGGAAAAGAACGGACTTAGTGTGCAAAGGACTTTAATCTGCAGCTCACTTTTGTTTGGCCCCATTCCTGTCATTGTCACAAGAGAACTTAATTTACTGTAAACTATGGGACAAAAAAAAAAAATCAGGGTAAAATACTAAAAATATGAGCTAATCTTAAAAAAAAAAAAAAAAGGATTATTTTTTCTGTAAATTTTGGTTTAAAATTTAGTTATTCAGTTATTTGCAGGTAAAAGAGGCCAAAAGTGGTGGCTGACACGGGATTTCTTGATTTAAACAGGATGCCTGAATCATTTGCACAGTGCTGTATACAACATTAATGCTCCAACATGGGTGTGCACGCATCTGCGAGCTACGTAGTCAGCCTGTGCTCTGAGTGCACGTTAATACTTTATATAATAACCTGCATGAACCTTTGTAAGAATGCAGAACAGAAATCATGAATTAGTTTAATTTGATGAAAATGAAAAGTTGGACTGAGTGGCAAAGTGTGGGCTGGTTTTATTTCTAAAAATCAAAGACTGGATAGTACACCAGTATAAAGGCATACAGATTATATTGACAATGTTTTCCTTTTATTTGTATATTTGGTCTCACACCTGCATACGTGGATGCTGATAGTCTGCTTGTAAGCCAGTGTGGGCATCTATAGCCCTGATTCCACCAAACACTTTCAGTATGGTACCTTTGGAACCAAAAGTAACCCCTCAGACATGGTACCTAGACCCTAGGGTTTCCACCACAAACAGTACTCTTAAAAGTGGACAAGGTTGTTGTCACTCGCTGCTCCGTCCAGCACTCACTGTATTTCCCTTATTATCGGTGACAGAGATGGAAGTCTGCACCTCGTTTATCGTCCACAGAAAGAGGCTGCACGCCGACATTTTCAGAACAAACAAAAAAGGCCGCAGTGAGAGTCAGCAAAACATCCTTTATTTTTATAGTTATAGTTTACTAATGTAAAACTTGCCACAGTACGAACAGTGGTTAAAAAAACAGCCACAACTCAGCCCTTAGCAGAGTGACCGTCCTCTATTGACCAATCAGACTGCAGAGTTCACAGCTCCACCGTTTAGTACCAGATCTGTGTGCCAGGTACCCCAACAGAGGGGGGACCAAAAATGGGTACGGTACAGAACGGTTCCATCGGTACCATCCACAACTTTTCACAGTGGAAACAGAATAAAAAACGTACCAATCTGAACCGAACTGCTCAGTGGGAACAGGGCTTATGATGTAAGATACTAGATTTGTCTTGTTGGGCCATAATTTAGTCTATCTAAATGTCATTGAATTTTAGCACTGTTTAGTTTCAATATAATGTTATGATGGTTAATTTGTTAACGTATCAGCAGTCATTTAAAAGTCATCTGAAAATCTGAAGGGAAGTCTCGTCGCTAAAGATCTAAGTGTAAAATTAACCTGTTGGTTAATCCTGGCATTAAAGCAAAAATTAGGTCAATAAATAACTTTTTAGGTTGTGGTTTAACTAGTATATCCAAAAAGTGAGGAAATGACCCAATATGAGCCAATGAGAAGGTGCATGAGGCATTCAACACAGGAGAGACCTTGTGTTTTTGGGGATTCCCGTCAGTAACCACCTAGTTGAGTAAGAAACCAGTATGGTAGTCACTAACTGTAACTGTCTTGTTTTCTGTGATTGATTAAGACATCAGTTGTCAAAGTTTGGTCTTAGCCACGACCTAACTGGCTCTCATCCCTCAGCACTGGCCCCATGCTCCGTATCATCCTCCACTGACCTCTGACCCCGACCCCACCATTCTAACGTCTCTCATGCTGGGAGACTGTAAGTAGAAGAGCTTGTTGCACCTGCCCGCCATCCAAAACGCTGTGCTGTGTGTCCAGTAACACCCCCCTCATCATAACAAGCAGGACTGAGCCGCTCACTAAACTACTCACAGCTCTACACTGCCCCCTGCTGAGTCTGGCATGTATTGCCCCAGCAGATCATGAAGCACTAAAGGCTTCTTACCCCTCAATGAACCTCCGTACTTACTGTTTCAGATTGCTTGAGTTTGGCCTGAAAGACTGGAGTTGGCCATTGGATGATGACGATAATGATGATGATGATGATGATATGTTCTTCTGAAGGAAGTGAAAGAGGGGGGACAGAGGGTAACTGCACCTCTGCATGTGTGTTTGCAGTTAACAGGAGGCCTTAATGTGGCCAGAGGCATGTTTTTGTGTGATTTCTAAATTTGCAGTTGAGTGTGAAGACATGAACTTGATGTTTGGACTTCATCCTTGTTACAAGAATAGTTTTATGGTTTGGGGGAATTGGCTTGCTGCACATGCTTAGTGCACAAAAAGCAGACTGATTTGGCAGTAATAATTTTTGCAAGAAGTAGAATATTAAGGCAGTAGTTATCTGCTGAGAATATTTTTCATAGCATGTTAGTCTGTAGGTAAATTTTGCTGCTCTTCAGGTTACTGCACTGCGTACAACTTGAGTCAGTTGGGAGCTAGCTAAAGGAGCCGCTCATTTGGGGATTACTGCTTGTAACACCGTCCTGACCAGGCTCCCAGGATGTGCGGCTGGCGTTGAACTCAATTTTAGTTGTGGCTTAACAGTGGAATTACAACTCCCATGTCTGTCATGTGATGCCATTGGGCCCAAAAAGGCTCTTTCCCCAAAGAAAAATCAGTGGATACATTTTTTTAGTGTTACAACTGCCGCAGAGTAACTCGTTCCATCCGTTCAGTCCAATAACATTTGGAAATAGAAGAGAGCCACAAGATTAAATCATTTTATCCTCATTCAAGTTAGCGCTAGTGCACTTGCTCTATGACGCAGAAGCAGCGCAGATCATCTGGATGATTTCATATGTGGTAGTTTGGTTTTTGGATTCATGCACCACTAAGCAACTTTCACAAGGATGAACGAGGTCCTGCCTCCAGAGCTGTATCCAGTTCTCTTTATACATCAATGGTCCTGACCCAGCAGTATTGCTGTGTAAACACTGTGCCCACCTTTCAGTCTCCCCTCAGGTCACTCCAGTGAGTAAGTGGCTCAGTTTTAAGCCGCAAACCCCCTTTAGCATTGTTAGCTACTGTTAGCACTGTTAGCAGTGCTAGTGGTGCTAACATAGTTAAGAGTGCTAATGGGGTTTTGCAGATCAAAATGGAGCCATTTACTCACAGGAGTGAGATGGGAGTAGACACAAGGGTGACTACCATGTTTCCACAACAACGGCATCCCACCACCTGGACGACATCACCAGTGGTAATCACAAATAAGCAGCACTGCAAGCTAGCTTAGCTCCCACCTTACCAGGATGGTGCTCAGTGCAAAGTGGCCAAGGCCAACCAGTGGAGACTTTAGGTTTGGCAGTGGGCACCATGTTTCCAGTTGCTAATGCGGCTAGCAGTCTGTCTGTCAGCAAAGCCAACAAAAAATTAAATAAAAGGCAAGACATTTAACGTTAGCTTACATTACATAACATTAAAATTTCACCACTTCTAAATGGATATCACTCTGAAATGCAGCTGTGAATATGGAGCTGCAGCCAGTTAGCTTAGCTTAGCATTAACACTAGCAACTGGGGAAACAGCTAGCCTGGCTCTGTCTGAAAGTACAAAATCAACAAAATCAGCCCACTAGCACTTCTATATGAGACATTGTTAAAAAAAAAAAGCAATTTAAAAAAACAGTATAATATCCAGAATACCTTTGGGTAGAGCCAGGCTAGCTGCAAACATTAGAGTTTGTACTGTATATGTAGGTACTTGTATATCTGAAAATGGACTTCAAATTTCACTCCTTGTGAACATGCAGACCAAGATTATTCCCATATCTGTCTGCTTTTTATGCATTTCACTCGTGCATTGTGTGGCTTGTGAATAGCTTCCTGGTTTAATATGTGTGGATTTTGTGTGGGTGTGCCTTTGAAGTGCAGCCATTCTGTTGGTAGCATCCCAGGTTTTCACATAATTTTCTTTCTCTCTTTTCACAGTTAACCCTGGCTGATCAAAGATGTGTGTTTTCATCTTTGTGGATTAATGACCGCAGTCTGGACGCAGTGCCTACATGTGTCATTTCTTCAGGGAAGTAGACTGAAAAAGAAAAGAAAAAAAAACATTAATCATGGAGAGAAACATTCACAGAAACTGGCTGTCGTCATGAGAACTGAGGCTGCCTTTGTCGTTGTAACAAGAGGAAGAAAATGAGTATTCATATTAGAGTGAGATTTTAACTAAAGGGGAAAAAAAAAAGGTCAACATTCGGTGATTAAAACTGCCTTATTTTATAACCGTCATGACAAAAACGTGGACATTTTATTCTGTGAGGTGCAGTGACTCACATGGATTTGTCTTTGTGAGGTGTTAGGCATGTGTGTGAACATTTGTATATAGGATTAAGAGATCTGTCTGTGTATTGTAACACAGGAGGTGTAGCTCATAGAATATGATTGTTTTATTTTTATGGATATAAGTCAGCAGCACATTATGCAGTACATGCTTGTCTTGTAAATGAATACAGTTTTCATTACACAAAGTAGATCAATTAAACCATGAAACAGAATAATGTGAATTGAATAGGAACAATGTGTTATCTCCTCGACATTCATGGCTAATTCAAATAAATTCTGTTACCCTGAAAATGAATATTTCATTTTATATTAATTGGTTATCATCACTTGGGAAGGATTTGTCAACCCTATCACCAGAACAGATGTTGGCATTGTTCATTTGTGCAAACCTCAGATACGAAACTTGGTACATCATTTCAGTATTACAATACAGTGTGCACTATCTCTTGTATGTCTAACATAATTAATTGATACCTCATTAACAATTCAGGTACAGTGCAACAGATTAAACAAGTAAGCGATAATGTAAAGTGAGCAGATCTCTGAGCGGGAATCACTCTTAAACGGGATTTAAACTTGTGGAGCAGACCCTACGCACGTTGCCTACACCGTTTTTTTTTTTTGTTTGTTTGTTTTTTTACCATTTCCCTTAGTGGAAAGCTTTTATTTACTTTTAGTTTCACAGATAAGAAATGGCAAATTGCAAAGACAGTAAAGCCTCCACAAAATAGCATTTTAAGTCTTGTGTGTGATTTATACTTAGAGATTTATCCTGGCTTCATATGAACAGAGGAAGTATTCGCTCATCGCTAGGCTAATTTATACAATGTAAAATGCCATAGGCTGGTGCTAATAACATTAGCATGTTATATTTGTTTGGAAAACGTGTTTAGTATAAGACAGTTGTTTTGTCAGTGAACCTTGTGAGTCGTAATGGAGCCGAATTTTTTAACATTACCTTTGTTAATGTTGCTGTCTTCCCTGGTTTCATGTGAGTAAAGGAAAAGTTTGCTAGCTGCTAGGCTAATTTATACAATGTAAAATAAAGGCTTGTGCACATAACATTAGCATGTTATATTTGTTTGCAAAACGTGTTTAGTATAAGACAGTTTTGTCAGTGAACCTTGTGAGTGGTAATGCAGTCGAACTTTGTAACATTACTTTTGTTAATATTGTTGTTGTCCCTGGATTCATGTAAGTAGAGGAAAAGTTTGCCAGCTGCTAGGCTAATGTATACATTTAAAAATGCCATAGGCTTGTGCTAATAACGTTAGCATGCTATATTTGTGGGGAAAATGTGTCCAGATAAAGACAAGTGTTTGTCTGTGAATGCTGAGAGTTATAGTGAAGCTGATTTGTGTACTTGAGTTTGAAACTGTCGCTATTAAGCCATGTTGTGTGTTTTAGGTGTGTTTTGAATCAACTTAACTTTACAGCACTTCACAGAAACCTCACTGTCAACTAGTGTACTGGAGGTGTAAGTGCAGAGTGACACAGACACACCACCGCACAAGTATAAATGCTCACAACGGCATGGGCGACGTGCGTAGGCTACGATGTAAGGTCTGCCGCACAAGTATAAATTCCTGCTTAATTGTTGTTGAAATATGAAATATAAGCAAAATTAACAATACCAGAAAGATAACTGATACAGTTAGTTCTAGCAGTGGTTCCTAACTGGTCCAGATTTCTCCTTAGTCATTAGTTCAAGGTCCACACAGTTTATATATTCAGTGTCATACTTGCATTTGGCCGTGTTGTTGGGCTAGTTTGCTGTCTCTGTCATGTAGCTGTCCAGTCGTCGCTCACTCTTCAGCAGAAAATTACATTTCAAAGTAGCTTCTCTGTGCAGGAAATTCACTGTCCTTCAAAAAAAAGTGTGTTTTTTACAAAGCTGACACGTTGGCGAGTCACTTGAGGTCCATTCAGGTTGGACCTGCGACCCACCGAGTTATTGCATCTCAGCGATATTATAAACAGAGATGTTGTAGGAATATTGTAGTGATCCTTGAGAGGTGTTACAGACTACAGTGTATTTTAGGAGACTATTTGAACTGCACCAGAATAGGTCTGTCTCTATCTTGCAAGTGCATGTGGAGTGAGTGGGCTTGACTGAAATAAATCTTTCAGAACAGCCTAAAGCCAACTGGCACTCATCATACATAATGTAATGGTTCATCATGTTGCCCATCTGCTAAAATCGTATTTCATACTGCAGGTCTCATCCATTCTGTCTATCAGCTGTGTGACTGTATGTTCTGCTTAAATAACCATGAAACCTGCCGTACCTGCTGGCTGTACCGACCGCTGCGACCTCAGGTGGCACGCAGCTTTCATCTCCTGCTTCTTCCTTCTCATCATGAATCAACATGTATTCTTTTATCTCCAGGCTTTTCATTTACATTTCTAAAAAGGACATCCTTCCTGTAGTAGTGTCATGTAGTGTGTTACTTGTTTCTAATTCTTTAACTGAGTATTTCAATTTCATGCTAGAGTTAGCTAGTTACTTTACAGGCTCAGAGTTATGGTGAGCTTATAAAATATGATGCATTAGAGATTAAACTACCCATCAGTATGCAAGATTAAAATTAACCCCTCTTCAACAGTAAAATGCTACTTAACACTTTAATGCATCAGTAATAATAGTCTAATAATGTAGTATAACAGCTGTGTAACACTCACATAGGCAATTTTACATTACATTTATATTTTGCTGATGATACTTAAGTGATATTGTCAACCTAGGACTTTTAATTGATTCATTCTTTTTCCGTAACTGCTAGGGGTTGCTGGGGGCTGGAGCCTATCCCACCTGACATTAGGCGAGAGGCAGGGTACACCCTGGACAGGTCACCAGACTATCACAGGGCTGACACATAGAGACAGACAACCATTCACACTCACATTCACACCAACGGACAATTTAGAGTCACCAATTAACCTGCATGTCTTTGGACTGTGGGAGGAAGCCGGAGTATCTGGAGAAAACCCACACTGACACAGGGAGAACATGCAGACTCCGCACAGAAGGGGCAAGAAACAGAGGCAACAATGCTAACCACTGCACCACGGATGACTATAAACACTGGCAAATAAAATAAATTTTAAAACAAAATACTTATCATGGCCAAAATATTGTTAAGTCTGATCTGGTTTATAAGAGAAGTCGACATTTTGACTTGTGTTTGTTTCTTTAGACACTTGTTGCCGATGGTGGAATTTAAAAACTTCAATCAAAGCCTGATCCCAATTAAACGCCCAGTCCCTTTTACTAGCCTGGTGTGGTTACACATTTTGATAAATAAACGCGTGTCTAAATTAGATGCTGGGTCTGGTTGCCAAGCAGTTCATTTTTTCCTCAGATATATAACAATTTGCTGAGCAACAATTTTGTGTGAACTTAATTAAAGGCCTGTCCCATATAGAGGCCTCTCCCACATATAGGCCTGTTGATTTCAGTGATTTAAGCAAATAATAGCCTGGGCTATTAATTGAAGTTTTACGGTACATATGCTTAAGTACTCCACTTGAAGGGACAGTTCACCAAAAGTAGAAAGTAAATATTTTTCTGTTTACCTGCAGTGCTATTTATGAATCTACATTATTTTGGTGTGAGTTGCCGCGTGGAGATGTCTGCCTTCTCTCAAATATGATGGAACTAGAAGGCATTCGGGTTTTGGAGGTCAAAAAATAAATTTTCTTTGTACAGAGCTATACCTGCCTACTCTATCACAATGCAGAAGGAAGTGTGCATCTACTGCTAGCTCACCTAGCACCACTGAGCAAGCTAATGTCACAACTCAGCCGAGGAGCACGCCATTAATGTTTATATCTCGCGCTGTCATGGGCCTCTTGTCCACAAAATCAAAAATACATATTTTTCCTCTTACCTGTAGTGCTCTTTATCAGTCTAGATTGTTTTGGTGTGAGTTGCCAAGTGTTGGTGATATTATGTCTGCCTTCTCTCCAGTATAATTTTGAAAAACTCAACATCAATGTCTCTTTCCACAAACCATGACCTTGTTACTCAAGATAATCCAGAAACTGTTTTCGTTCTACTGAACTTCTCAGAAGCATGTATGTACCCATGAACAAGACGCTCATGCTCATGACAGTGAAAGATGCAAACATTACTGGCGTCCTCCTCGGATGAGCTGTAACGTTAGCTAGCTCAGTGCTGCTAGGTGAGCTAACAGCAGATACCCGGTTTCTTCTGCATTTCTATTTTATGCTACTGTATACATCTCCATCTTTTTTGCGTCATTTATTTGACGACCATAACTTCTACTTTGCTGATTAAGACTTTACATGGTCAGCATATAAACTACAGTTCATTGTTACTGAAGCATTTTATACCCAACAGTACATTGAAGTTAAAATTAGCTCCAACTCAGCAAACGACAACTGTAAAATACTATTTAAATGTCAATTGATTTAACTTTTTATACTACCTGGAACACCTGGTTATAATTATTTGGGATGCACAAAGTATTTTTACATTACTGTATATGAACTTTTATGTAGGTAGAAGATCTGGATATTTGTTCCACCACTGCGTCAGTATATTTCTTCTTCATACAATCCACACAGTGGAAACAAGCTTATAAATTGAGATACATTTTATCCGTCAAATAAACTCACTGACTAAAATTTAAGGTTTAGGATAAAGCCATTATTTAACTTTTGTTCAGTGCTTACTGCTTTGCTTTAAGCTTTTTGCATCTATGTGAATAATTAATATGTAAACATTCAGCAGCATGACTAGTTAGCTTTTCAGATTATTAATTAAATGTTCAGCAAAATAACTTAAATCCACCTCATTTTAAATTGATGATCATGCATTTTTATCTCTCTCCCACCCTCTCTCTTCCTCTTTCCCCCATATCTAGAAAATCCAAAGTACAAAATAATGCAAACACCTAACTGAGTTTTTCACTCAGTGGCAAACCGTCATAATCGTAAACTTCATACGCTCACATTAACACACAGACTCCAACATCATATTTCACGATCAGCAGTTTTGAAGGAGAGCTATATAACATTGTATTTGATAAACCAACTCAAACTAAGTTTCCAGATTCTGGACTTTCCCTGCAGGTTAGAGTCACAGAGTTTGTTCCAATGGCCTGTCCTTGACGAATGACTGTGTAATGAGTGGGACCTTGTTTACTCAATAAGTAATGATTAGTTTGGAGGATGCTGCTCCCCAAAGGACTCAGTTATTTGCAAGTGACCACTGCTGAATCTGATATAAGGAGCATTCTGGCTGTGTCTCATCTGATAACTGAGAACGGTAAGTTTTATTTTGTTACTCACGGCACTGAACATCATGTGCAGGAATGTATGTGTAATTGTTTTACTCATGTTTCTGAACATCTTGTGCACGACCTGGAAATGATCTGTGATGTTTCGCAGTGGTGAAATACTTCAGTGGGATATTTAAGTCTTCTCTGATGTCCTTTCCTCCTCATCCTTAACTCTCTGTGTCCTCTCCTTCTAGCAATGAAGTCCTGGTGTCTTGCTTTCCTCTGCTTGGCATGTTTCTGCCATGGCGCTCTGTCCTGCCCAGCACTTTGCAAATGCTACCACAGAAGAGCTGAGGTGGTCTGCAACGAGGTTCCCCTGACGGAGTACCCCTCCGAGGGTCTCCCAAAGAACACCACCCTGCTGACCATCCAGTTCACGAATATCACCTCCATCTCCGAGCAGCACCTGAACGCCACGCCCCTGCTGCAAGGGCTCCATCTGTACAGCAACCACCTGCAGAACCTTCCCTCTCATCTCCTAAGAGGTGTTCCTCATGTCGACACTTTGGACCTCACAGACAACAAGCTGTCTGACCTGCCTGCGGACATCTTCAGCCACGCTTCGCTCCGCAACCTGGTGCTGAAGAATAATTTGATTGAAAAAGCTGATGCCAACTGGCTCTCTGATAACAGCAGCGTCACCTGGTTGGATTTATCTGGGAACAGTTTAAAAAAGATCCCGGCTGCTCTGCTGCAGAAGCTGCCCCACCTGGACAATCTGGACCTCGCCAACAACCACCTGGAGTTTATCTCTGCTGATTCTCTGGACCGGATGACCAAACTTGAGAGGCTTAACTTGAGAAACAACAAGCTAAACACCCTGGATGCATCTATATTTCAGAGCACCCATAACCTCACCTCTCTGTTCCTCTCTCGGAATAAGCTCAACAAACTTCCCCAAGACCTTTTCCAGGGGCTCGCTCAGCTCAAATACCTGAGTATGGATGACAACCAGCTGAGCCACATCCCCACAGGTCTGTTTGATCCTCTGAGCTCCCTAGACGAGGACGGGCTGGACCTGACCGACAACCCCTGGCTGTGTGACGGGAAGGTGGAGTACCTCTGGAGGTGGCTTCAGAAGAACAAGAAGATGGTGTTCCTGCCAGAGACCGTCACATGTGCCAAACCGCCGTCTCTAGTGGGGCGCTCAGTGATGTCACTGACAGAAAGTGAACTAAACCTTCAGTCTTAATATCCTCTGTCCTCATACTGGTTGTTATCTGACATGGTGATGTACCCTGTCTTAGCTTTCTTACTTTTCAATCACAAAAACATTCTCTTTTATCGAATGTATAATTAAATATGATACAAGTAAAGAGAGCTTTCAAGACTTTCTGTCTTTCTGTCTTTACTTTACTGCAGATAAAATGTGTTGTCAGTGGACATTTTGGGCCTTGTCACTTTCATGTTAAGATTCAAATACAAAGATCTGTACCACTCTCATGTCTGTACACCAAATATGAAGCTACAGCCAAGCGATGGTTAGCTTAGCTTAGCATAAAGACTGGAAATGGGGGAAATATCTCGCAAGGCTCTGCAGAACCAAAACTTGTCCTCTTGTATGAATTAAACCAGTGGTTTTCAACCTTTTTGAGCCCAAGGCACACCAAAGGGCAATCCGAAATCTCAACACTTGTATTTATACCTGTGCACAACAGCTTCTATAACGTGTGTTAGCACTCTTATCGCGACATAAAACATTAAGAAAAAATAAAACAGGTAGCTTTTGTGATACTGTTTACTTTTTTTTCTTTCTCTGTTTTCTATTGGTGGTAGGTCGTCTTCACTGGTGCTTTGTTGTAATTTGCTCTGTACAATAAGCTAAGCTAATCAGCTGCTAGCTATAGCTTCATATTGAATGGACTGATTTGAGAGTGGTGTCAATCTTCTCATGTAACTCTCGTAAATAAGCATGTGTCAAACTAATCCTTCAACTGACTGTATGCTCTTTAAACAGGAAATCCAAACACAAAGAATAAAATGAAAATGGATCAAATGATGAGATTAAATTGAAAACCTCAGTCATCATAGATTTACAAGTCACAGTTAAAATAACATACTGCATAAAAAATGTTTTTGCAGGAATGAAAAAAGACTATTGATTTGTATGTGGTAAGATCTTTACTTTTGGACCGAACAGTAAAAAGTAACCACTCGCCGGCTGATGATCTGGTTTGTTTGCTTGGTTTTATTTGCCTCTTGCAACATCTTGTCTTGACTCATTGCTGGGAACAGATACACTCAACATTGTATAAAACCAAGTTCGTAATGACAAACAGGAGGAATTCTGCCGTGCCTTTCAGGTAAGATCATACATTTATGATCATGTTTTCACAATGCAGTGAGATGACTTAAACAGCTGATGATTTGTACTTTGATTATTACATTGATATCTGTTTCTGATACAGTTTGTTTCCTTTGTGCAGTGCTTTAAAGATGAACTTGTGGACGCTCCTGACTGTGACTGCGCTGGCTAAATGGGCCCACTCCTGCCCAGATCTGTGCTCCTGTTCCTTCACACCTTCAGGTGCAGAGGTGATGTGCAGCGAAAGCTCCCTGACACATTTCCCTGTAGACGGTTTACCCTCCAACACCACTCAACTGTACATCCGGTCCACCAAACTCAGCAGTGTCGCAGCCAGCCATTTGAGTGCCGTGCCCCTTTTAAAGTACCTCCAGCTGTATAACAACAACCTGACGAGCCTTCCTTCAGATCTACTGACGGACGTCCCTCACTTGGAGACGTTGGATCTGACAAGAAATCGTCTGGTTCATCTTGCTCCGGACATCTTCAGCCATGCCTCACTGCGTGGTCTTGTGCTGAAAGATAATCTGTTTGAAAAAGCTGATGCAGAGTGGTTTCCTGGCAACAGTGGCCTCACCTGGCTGGACTTGTCTGGAAACCGTTTGTCGGGTGTACCCGCTGCTCTGCTTCAGAAGCTGCCCAATCTGGATAATCTAGACTTGAGTGACAACAGTCTACAAGACCTGCAACCTGATGCCCTGGAGAGCCTGCACCGCCTGCAGACACTGAATCTCGCTGGTAACAACTTAACCTCCCTGAGTTCTACAATCTTCACCAACAACCTTAATCTATCTCAGTTGTTTCTGCAAGAGAATAAGCTCCGAGACCTGCCAGCGACCCTCCTCCAGGGTCTCCAACACCTTGAATATCTGATGCTCAACCATAATCAGCTGCAGCGTTTCCCCTCAGGGCTGCTGGGTGACAGAAAATCTTCCTTCCGCATGATCTTAATAGGAAACCCCTGGGTGTGCGATGAGAAGATGGAGTATCTGTGGAAGTGGCTCACTGCCTATCGTCAAAATGTCATCTTTTTGGAGGAGGTGACATGTGCAGAGCCTGAAGCTCTTAAAAGCCGACCAGTGATCTCTTTGACAGAGAGTGAGCTTGGACTTCACAAGATGGAAAATCAATGATGAAGACAAGGCAAAAAGAAAATCTCAAGTCTCTATATTCTACTAAAATCATATGTGGTATGATAAATTATTCATTGTATCGAAGGCTGAAATAAAACCTTACGAGCCATTCTTTGTCCAACACTGCTTTTTATGATCTCTCCTTGGTCTCTCTATTTTTTGGATTTTGTCCAGCCCACTGGGTGGCGTAAGATCCTCAATACATTTTCAAAGCAATGAGCTGAACAGACAGTGCAGGTTGGTTGAGAATCATTTTACTTAGTAGATCCCAGCCCAAAAAATGTCACCAAATCATGATGCTGTTTTCATGTGTGGGGCACGTTATCTCAAGTTAATTCAAGGTATGGAAAGACTAGATTTTTAATCATCATGTAGTCGAAAAAGCTGTGATCAAGACAAGAAAATGAACATCAGTGGTGTCGCAGAATCGCCAGCAATCAAAGCACTCCTCCCTCCCTCCTCTGTGTTTTTTTGGAGATTCTTACGGTGAATTCTTACTCCAACAAATCTGTCTCACTTGGTGTTGGTTGCATCACAGATTGCGGCATTGTTTCAGTCGTGCCCTTTTGTTTTTAATGATGTTGAGCATGTGGGAGTGTGTGGGCAGTGCAATGGCTGAGTCTTCCAGCTGACCTCTTCTGGGTGTGTTTAAATATCTCTCACACACACATACACACACACACACACACACTTCCTTTAGGTCTCTGTCTTTCTCTCATTGTGTATATGTGTGTTTATATCCTCCATACGCCCACACACCCATGTCTTGGAGCCTTGATCACAGTGAGTGCACCCCACAAATGTAATTTATTACTCTTATAAAATATAAAACATTGCCTCCTCTACAGGCTGTTACTTATGAAAATTAAACCTTGTTTGTAAAAGCTCCCCAAAGAGTGGAGGGATAACTTCCGAGCTTTGATGTATGCCTTTCATTCTGCCTCTCTGAATTGTGTCCTGCAGGTTAAAGGTGGAGGAAATGCTGGTACGATTACTCCCTCCAGATGGAAACATCTGTTTTGGGGAATGTGAACAAAAGCACTCTGCTGTACCTTAATAACTTCTGCTGCTCTTTGGGGCAAGACATTTAATCTCCATCTGCTCCTGCAGAATCCCCCAGGCTCTGATTTTTGTAAGTGTGTAATGGTGGGCAGGTTGTTCCTGGGATAAATGAGGCTTCCTTCACCTGATCAGTATGGAGGAATGGCGCCTGCTCTCTGGCTTGCTGCCGTGCTGCCGGCTAATGATGACTGACTGACACTGAAATCTGAAAGGTCACAGGCACACACTTGATATTGACTGTGGCCTTTCTGACTCGGTGTTGTGTTAATGGAGACATGTTTGTCTCTGAGTGCTGCTCATTAGCACATAATGGTGCTCTAATTACTTGACATTTTTGCAACAACTATTTACACGATTTTTCTGAATATGTATTTTCAGGTGAAAACTTTGGTTCCCTTTCTGTCTTACTTCAGCTCTGCACCAATATGAAATTTAAAAATATGTTCTTATACACTCATTAATGACTGTAAAACAACTTATTCATAACTCACATTGCTGTGATGAAAGTTCAGGAAGTACATCTACTCAATTTTTTGTACTGTCTTTTTTACGTCACTCCATTTCCTTATCAGATATAGTTATTGCACACTAATATTTTACACATTAAAATCCCCTGAGAAGGTCATAAAACATAAAAATGCTACAGAATAAACTAATACACAGTATATGAAAGAGTTACCGCTACCTCACCCAGTTATAATATTGAAACTGTGAATGGGCTCATGATAAAAATCCTGAAGTGTAACACTCACAAAAGGGCCACTGTGCACTATAATTAAGGCCATTTTGCTGATTGATATCAATCTCATAACTGTCTATTGAATTAAAGGCTATAGAGAATGTGAAGTTGACGTCACGCTGTGGTACTTTTTTTAGGATGGGGGTGCCATCTTGTCTGTGCCTGCTACAATGGTCCAGCATGTGTGATTTAACAAACTCATGATAAACAACATACATCCATATGACTTGGAGATACTTGAAGGTACGTCACGCTGTGTGGGACGTGGGCGCCATCATCACTCATTCCAAAAAGACGATAATTTACAGCAGGGGGGGTAAAACTCATTTTAGTTCAGGGGCCACATACAGCCAAGAGACTTTTTATGCACTCAGTAGATACATTTCTCTCAAAATTTGTACTGCAGTGCACTTCTCCTTTTCCAAGGTAATCAATCCACCCTACAGGTGAAGCATATTAACATAATAATTGACCTATGGCTAAGCCATGCCCCTCTCCACTCACTTGGACAAAATATCAACATTAAGTGACCAGCGCTATGGCAGGTGTCACAGTACACTACATTTTGCAGGAGGCAGTTGATGATTTTTGGAGACATAACGTTAAGATGTCACGAAGAAGTAACCAAAAGGGCCTTAACTACGCATTGGAGGGATATATTCATCATTTTATTGTTGAGAAGGTCAATGAAAAGCTTAAATTACAAGCCAAAATTTACAGGTCGCAGTGTAAGTGTGATAAACCTCATCTCGTTGCTGTCATCATCAAAGACAACAAGATAGAGGATCAGCATTGTTCATGCACTGCAGGGTAAGAAATTTAACAAGAAAAGGATAACGGCCTTTTTACCATCTTTACCGAGAGTGTCTCTTCGTTAGTTTGGTGCTACAGTATTTACACTGAATTATTCAGCATAAAGTTTGCCAACCTTTGTTATCTCTGCGATTACACACAAGTTAATGAAGCTAAGCTTCAGAAGTTATTGTTAGCTTAACTAGAGCCCTTTGGACAACAGCTAACAATGATGCACAATCACCAAAGTCCAAAACTAGAACAAAATAGGCTAATGAACTCCCAGCAAACAAGGTGAC